TCTAGGACCAAAACCATTGTTCAAATTCATTTTTTATATTTTATAAATCGTTCACAAACAACAATAGCCTACCAGTACAATTCGATGAACCTTCTATGAAGATAGAAACTCATTGAAGTGGAAACCTAAGAACAGAAAGAGGAGCAATGACGCAGGAGATCCATCGAGCTTCAAATATCGTATCAGGCAATAGAATCAAAAGCAATAGATCTTCTGCATGTTCTGCTCATGAGACAACGTGAAAATAAAAGCCATTTTGTTATTAATCAGAAAGATGAAACCATGAGACATAGCGAAGAAAGGAATGACTTACATATGCGAAGCGATTAACCTTGGACGAAGAACAAAAACCTATTCAAGGTCAATGCCTGGTATAGGAAGAGGAGTAAAGGCGAAAGATATAACTGATCAAACATTGTCTTCAGCAATAGAAGCATCAACATATTTCTTCTGTTAGTTTATCGAGGAGAGACATAACCATTGGGCGATGCCAGTGTAGAGAAACCGAGCGAGATAATTAAGGCCAGACCATAACTACTTGATTGAGCTCCATTCTATTCGCCATGGATTGATATTGGAGTTGAAATCTTCGATTTTCCCAGCTTAAATCCCTAAGAATAAAACTACACCGCCAAGAGATACCTGAAGATTGATTTTCAAATGCGCCCTTGTACTGGAAAGTGAAACGGCGAAAACTATTGCACAGTGGAGGGAATTTCGGAGGAAGTTAAAAAGAGATAAGAACAATAATATAAAAAAAGCACAAAATGAATATTTTCTTCTATGTTAGCCAATTACCAATTTACCTTTAGCAAAAATTAAAGAGAGAGCATGAATTTTAAAATAGATCAAATTACATGAAACTCTACTATGAAAATTGAAGTATTAAGCACCATAAAAATAGATACGATAGACTTAGTGTGCTTGCTAATCATGATGGAAAAGCCCCATGCTTTCCATAGTTTAACTTCGTGTATGTTTTGTATTTGAAAAGATACAACACATTCATTCATTGTGAAGTCTGTAATTGGTTATGATTGTTGTCTTTGTTTAAAGAAATCCTGATTCAAATCCTGATATTTTTTATATGAAACAAAAAATCAATTGTAAAAACGAAAAATATTATTCCTACTTTCACTTTCGCTGTAAAAATAAAAAGAGTTTAGAAGAAATCATGACACGACTTAGAAAACGACAGGAATACGCAAGGGACCGACCAAACCAATAATGGGTACAAACACTTGCCAACAATAATGCAAATCATCATGTTATAAGGAGGAACAGAGCAGCATGTGGTTCACGTAACTCACCAACTTCTTGTATTGTATGTATTTGGGAATGGCGAAGAGAAGAATGGCATTGGCATCACAACGACAATTTCAAACCCACATCAGATCCCATCCAATCCAATCCAATCCGACTGCTACACTACACAAACACAACCAAGAATAAGGTGTCGCACTCGATCGCCAATCCATGTGGATCCCTCGTGGATTCGATTTGGATGATACATAATTGAAGCCTTCGATTCTCCCCATATATTATTTTAATTAAATAAAGAAGCATATAAAAAAGATGAAATCACAGCAACCACTAGTTTTGAAAGGTTTTTTTTTTTTTTAGAAAAATATAACAAAATTATTATGACGGTGTGTCATACTAATATATTATTTCTATGCAAAACATTAATTTCAATTTAAAATGAATGAGGTATGATTATTACATGATGGTGTTTCAGTCTTATTGCAGGCAGTTGTGAGATTGTGATATGACAGTGATTAAATAACAGTGATATGCATTTTGAAGTTATATTTTTTACAATAAAAATAATAAAATAATATCTTTGGGTAGATAATAATTTATGTGTTTAGTATGTAAAATTTTTTAAATTGATAAATTAAAACGAAAAAAATATGGCCCGATAAATAAAAATATGATTAGAAAAAATAGTCAGAATCTCATCCTATCTCCTATGGAAATTCATGTCACAGGATGACGAAAGGGGCGAGAGAATTACTGCATCTCTTTGTCCTTATTCAATTTTTTAACGATCTAAATTAAATAAGACGAATGATTGCAAATGAAGAGTTTTTCAAATTTTGTAGATAAGATTTTTTACCAAATTATTTTCCTATAATAAATAAACTCATAGCTGTTTTAATTAATCATAATTTTACTAGGATTATAAGTATAATATGTCTCTCTACTATGTCGTTTTATCAAATATGTCCGTCTACTATTTTTTATATCAAACGTGCTCCTGTACTTTGGAAAAATTATCAATCATGCCTTTCTGTTAAAATTTTCATTGAAAAAATTGTCAATCATGGCCTAACGAGATTTAGACGACCCAACATCAGCAAATGGTAGGGGAAAATATCCCCTGTTTTATTTCTCAGTTGCCACAATCGAAATAGCACAAAACAAAGTATGGTACACACATAATTTTATGAATACTTAACTTTATAAAATTTCATAAAAAAAATTTCATTCGTAAATAATTATCATCGAATTTCAAATCACTATTCATTAGCAAGAGTCTACGACACTTCCTGTTATGTATTGTACCGATGGCCAGCTTAAATTATTGGGGTTTCGCTTAGTTTAATTTAATTGAATTTGTTTTTTCGAATTTCCCAAAGGGCATTTTGAGATGCAATTACAATATTAGAAATTATTTTAATGTCATAAAGTATCGTAGACAGATTCTATAATAGTCGAACACCTAATTGAATCAGCCACACTATCACGTTTTCACTACAAAATAGTGATCCAACGCTTTGCGGTGCTTTTGTGGATTCGTTTGGGCATATCTAAAGAATCGGGCTGACTATTTGGTTCGGACTTTTTGGTTTTACTTGAAAGTGGAAACGAGAACTATCTCAATCATTGTTGCAATTTAGAGTATGATGTATTAAGTTGAATAATTAGCCCTCACACTAATATAAAAAAAGTCGATTTAATTACGATACGTTGGACAAGTTAGTCTCTCGTTACAAGAAACAAAAAGACAACTGATCATAGGAGGGGGAGTCTTTCTCATCCCCGTCATAAACAAGGTTAAACTTTTCTTTTAACCTAAACGATGACTCTTACTCTTTGTAGTTTATAACTGTCAGCAGTCACAATTAACATATACTTATTTTAATTGTGTGGCTGAAACACCGAGTTATCATGTGGCCTAAACCCTGTAATTGAGATTTTGATACGCAGTTGGTAATTGATTAATCAAACTTTCTCCCCACTAACCTTTAAAAAAAAACAATAAGAGCAGAGCACCCTCTGACAATTGGAAGTCTACGTGGGTCAGTTGGACAAATAACAAAAAAGTGGAACAGAAAAGGGCATCATTCAATCAACGACGCTTTAGCCTTTATGTAAGATTTTGATTTGGCTATTAAACTAAACTAAATCCAGCAGAATAATTGCATCCTTAATCGAGCTCCGTACAGGATTGTCAGAGTATGTATAGAAAGCAGCTAATCAAATAAAGCATCAAACTACTAAACATTAACACTCTGTTTGGCAACAGGTGCAAATTGCAGGAGGGTTCAAGTTGAGGTGCAAATTGTTGGGGGTGTAAATTGCTGGGGTGTAAGTGGAGGGGTAAATTGTTGTTTAGATGAAAAAGTAGGGGGTGCAAATAGAGTGAAAAGTAAGTAATTATATTATTTTAAAATTTTAAAATAGATTTTAAGATTATAAAATAGATTTTAAAATAATAAAATATTATGATAAAATAATAAAATAAATATTACTATATAATAATAAATATACTTTGTTAAAAATAGTTTTTATATAATAATGCTCAAATAATAATTAATTATAACAATTGTAATAATCATTGATCAGCGATATCAAAACTCGAAGCTCAACTCGTAACTGGTCATCCTATATAGGGTTTTCGTGTCTAGTTTAATCGTAAATTGTCAAACTTAGTCAAACACGTTCGAATTTGTAAGTTTTAACTATTTAGTCAAATAAACTGAGTTAACCAAACAATTTCTCTCTATCTTTTCCACAAACACCTCGTATCTCTAATTTTCAATGCAAATTCGATTCAACCAAGAGATCTTGATTTGACTTGACGAACATTGATAAACTTGTTTCCATAGTCAAATGGTCAACCCCGAATAACGTTTACATTAATGATATTTATAAAAAGAAGAAATTGATAATATTAATATTATATAATTATATATAACACAATTAGAAAAACAGAATTCCATAATTCCGCCCTCCCCCTCTCTTCCTTCCTTCCCTTGCACCCCAATTCGGGGGGTAAGCCGAAACAGTAAATTTGCACTCCCGTTTTGCACCCCCTACTGTTCCAAATTAACCAAACAGGTGCAAATGTGTTGGAAACTGTGTTTACCCCTCACATTTGCACCCTCCTCCCATTTACCCCTCTTTCCAAACAGAGTGTAAGTGGGCGTCTCGTATAAATATTAGGTGAAATACACATATTTTACTTTTTGACAACAATAGCCAATTTGTAAAAAAATATACACCTATAGCTTCACTTTTTAAACTTGTTTGACTAATTTAGTTTTTTCTTTCAAATAACATTCATTCATGTGGTGGAGCTACTGTTCCTCCGTGAAGCTATGTTGTGGTGCTGTGAGCATGGCCTTGAGGCGGTCAGGTTTGAGGGGGATGCTAAGGTGATTATAGACAAAATCAAGAAGAAGGATATCAGAGATGGCCAGATGGGTGCTGTTCTTGAGGAAGTTGTTCAGTATTTTGATGCCCATTCTGGATTCAGTATTTGATTTGTAGGTCGGTGTTATAATAGGGTAGCTCATGTGGTAGCTAGAAAAGCCCTTTCTTTATACCCGACTATATGTCGTTTCTTTGACTTTCAGACCTGGCTGCTTTCCAGGGTGTAATTGTCTTCGTTTCAATCAATATAAGATTATCTTCTGTAAAAAAAAAATGTTTTGATTATTCGTTTTGCTTTGAACAATCTTATTATACATCGATGAATGTTAAAACTGTTTTCTTAAATGGTGATTTAGATGAAGAAATATATGATGTGAGCCTTTAGGGCAACCTGAATCACGATGCTCGAAGGTGAAAAAAGGACGTATCACGTGGAAGCAAGAAGACAGACGAGAGCCAAAATCCCCGGTGGGAAGGGGGGATTCCCCGCTCGGAGCATCAGACAGGAGGGTTCCCTAGTCTGAAGATGAGATTCCCCGCCTGGGGATTTGAAGACTTGCGACAAGGGGACCGGGGCTGACGGGTTATTGTTATCTTTATTGTTTAGAATTCCTTTATTTTTATGTGTTTGGATTAGTTTATTATTTCCCTAGCCTATATAAAGGGTTAAACACAAGATTTAGGGCAGACTTTGAAGAATTTATTGATTTTATCTTGGTTCACTTGAGAGTTTTATCTTGTGGATTGTGTTTTATATCAATCGAGTATTCCTCTTGATTGTGGTCAAGGTTTTAACCTATATTGATAGAGCTTTCTCCATGGTGTGAGATTGCACTTCAATTCCACCCTATCCCTGGTTCTAAATCTCGTTCTTAGCTGTGCGACTTTGCTAACTAAGTGCACTGTTTTGTGCTTGTATCATGTGGTAACATTGCCTGGTTCAAAACAGTGGCGAGAACGAAGGTGAGAGGACCTATTTCTTCTCGTACGAGATTGAAAGACCCCATAGCGAACTGCATTGCATAGGAGGATTCTTTGTTAGGAAGAAATCCCATCCGAAGAATAAATAATTGTGGAGTAGCAAATTAATGCTTCAGAACTGTTGCAGACTATCATGGCGCAATTGAAAGCAACCTTCCAAGTTCGATTCGACTAGATCAACACGTGCCTATATGCTCTTTTGCCGCCATCACCAGGACTCCATCTGATTCCTGAGGAAAATCGACATCAGGGGGTTCCAACTAGAACAAAACTGATTGGAACCGACCAAGCCCTAGATACAAGGATTCACAACTTGGAGTAGGGGTTGATCACAACAGAGCCTGATCGAGCACGTCAAGAACATGAATTTGGTGATTACGATGGGAGATCACTAGAGGCAGGACATGAAGGTACCATTGCGGAATTACAAGGGGATCAAGCTTTCAGTTCCTTTGTTTCAAGGATCTCTCAATGCTTCTGCGTACCTAGATTGGGAGAGGAAGATCATCTTATTCTTTCAATGTGGCAATTACAATGAGCAACAAAAGGTATCACTAGCCACGTATGAATTCACTGATTATGTAGCTATATGGTGGGAGTAGGTACAACTCAAGAGAAGAAGGAATCTACAGCCGAATGTAACGGCTTGGGCTGAATTGAGAGGGCTCAAGAGAGAGGTTCATGTCAAGGTACTATCAAAGGCAACTCTTTGATTCCATGTAGGGAATTCGACAAGGAGCACTATATGTTGAGGAATATTTCAGGGAGCTTGATTTGTTTTTTATGAAGGCAAATGTGAGGGAAGATAAGGAAGCTACAATTTCTCGATTTCTGCATGGTTTCAATCAAAAAATTAGGCACGAAGTTGTACTTCGTCAGTTTGTGGAGATGGAGGAAGTGGTTCACCTAGCCATTAAGGTGGAGAAGCAGTTGAAGGTCAACTCTGGAAGAAGGTATCCACATTCACCTAAGCCAGTTGCAGAGAACATGGGCGAGTGTGCTATGAATCCTTTACGTCCAGAAGGAGCCAAGCCATCAGACATGACACTGCTCCTTTCATCTAAGCCATGCCAAAGGATCAACTGGAAGCATCCAATGCTTCAAATGTCTGGACGAGGTCACAAGGCAAACTCGTGGCCCAACAAGAAGACTATGGTTCTGGAGATAGAGAATACTTTTTTGAGGAGTGTGAAGAGAAGCCAACGGGGAAGGGAATCGATTCTGATTCTGATGATGATGTTGATGAGCACATCATTGCTGAAATTCCTCCAATGGATAAGTTTCTTAGAGTCAATCTGTTTTCCAACGAGAAAACTTGTGTTGAAGCAAATTGATTGCACCTTGACATGAACAACGATCAACTTAACACGGTTCACACCTCTTCAAACAAAGTTCAAACGAGGGTGTTCGATTTTTACACGACCCACGACACCAAATCTAAATTAAATTAACCCTACTCCTTTGGAGGTTCTGCGAGAGCTCCAGATCTATGACTATGGCTATTTGTAGAGAAAAAGGTAAAGTTTGACGTATGCATCAATTGTTTGGTTGTGGAACCTCTCTCTGCCGACCCTTCCTCCTATTTATAGCCATGGGGAGATAACTATTGTAGAAAACCGCCTCTTGGATAACTCCCAAAAAGAACTGGTCCCTGCTTCCTCAGACATGGTGGTTACTCCCTCAACCGCCTAGGTTCCTCTCTTGGAACTGTCACGAGTCTTGGAGTGTGTCTTGCCTCGTATGGTCTTATTCTAGATCTCGTGCCACGCTAGTCTTTTGATGAGCATGTGGTGTCTCGCAAAGGGGTCGTGGTCGTCTTGCCTAATTGCCATGGACTTCTTACTCATGTCCATGGCCCTCTTGGGCTTAGTCACTAGTGATATAATGCTCCACCACCACGCCCTTCTCATTCGTGTCCATGGCCATCACATGACACGACCATGGACCTCTTAATCATGCACATGGCCCTTCTCGTGAGGCGGCATGTCTTCTCATACTTAGTATTTTTCAATAGTGCCTTCTTGTCTCGCGTCTATGCCCATTCTCGTGAAGCGGCATGGCCTTCTCAGACTTAGTCTCTTTTTTTTTTTTGTCTCCTAAGAGAGATGTCTCTCACGCGTCAGGACATGGCCCTCTTTGTGAAGTGACACGTTCTTTTTGATTTCTAGATGGACATGGCCCTCCTCGTTGAAGCGGCACGTCCCTCTGTAGACTTAGAATATTTTTGTGCAATCTCGTGGCACGACATGACCTCTTACAAGAGGCCCATGTCCCTTGTTGAATCAAGTTCATGCTCATTAATGACTTAGTGGTTTGAGCTTAAAATCAATATACATAAGGGTCAGCTTAAACAACATTAATTGTTATAATTAACATAACATTATAAACACATTAATTACCTTGTAACTCATCAATGTGTTACATGGCAATTTTATGGTGTAAACACAATCGTAGAGTGTCTCCCTTGAATCTCCAGCTGAACAAGAACGAGATAATCTATTTCATACTCGCTGCATGATGGATGGAAAGTTGTTGTCTGTGGTGATCGATGGTGGTAGTTGCACCAATGTAGTGAGTCTTGATGCAGTTAAGAAGGTTGGACCGAGCATAGTGGCGGATACATGCATGTTTAGGGGTGTCCCGGGACACCCCTAAAATTTGGAACACGATTATTCAACCTCCGATAGTAGTTTGCGTATAAGCAAAAAAATATTTAAGTGGTAGTGGGACACCCTTGAAATTTGATAAAAATTATTATCCAACCTTCCGTAGTAGTTTGCATACTGGTATAAATAATATTTAAATAGTAGTCTATGTGATTTAAACTTGGGACACTGTCTTTATTAGTAAGATATTTTTATATTTAATAATTATTTAATTAAATTTTAATATTTAATTAAATTTTTTTGGAGAGGATACCCCTACGTAGAATTCCTGGATCCGCCACTGACCGAGCACCATTATGATTTTAAAATCATGGTTCAATGATGATATATATGAAAAACGGAAACCACCTTGAAACCGTTTGCCATCCCTCAAATGCAGATCACAAAATTCATTTTTTTTTTCTATAATGAACTCTGAACTCGTGACAATCACCTTTGAGACAAAATTAGGATGGCTCTTTTTATGTTTGTTTGTTATAATATAGAAAGCTTATTGAACAGTTTATACCGTTTTCTTACCTCGTGTACTTGATGGTGAACATTCTAATCAAACGGATATCCGTGACATATCGAACGGGTCTTGATAGACCGTAGACGACGTCACTGGCGGATCCAGGGGGTGGCCACCCCAGGCTTCGGCCCAGCCCTCCTCTGGATCCGTAGTTACTATAGTCCTTATGAAAATTTTGATTTTAGACATTCGACCCAGTGTTATTCTATAATAAGATTGGGTTTAACTAGAAAAATTATCAAGTTGAACATATTAATCACTATTCTAAATTTAGTCTAGAAATTTTAGCCCCAAAGATTATGCGTCTTAAAAAAATAATGAAACCTAAAATTCTAAAAAGTTTAAAACGTAAAAGACTAAAAGAAATATGAGGTTTGTTCCCTTACAAATTTACTAAAGCAGCTGGTGTGCAGGGATGGACACACAATGCAAATTGTTTAGTCGATTGATTTATCTAGTGTTGATGCTGCTCGTTTCAACAGCTACTACGAAGAGGACCTTTTTAACAATGAAACATGCGAGAACTTATTTGCTCAACAAAATGAGCGATGAATTTCTCGCTGATTGCTCAAGTATTTTATTTGAAACAATGTATACTATTGGTATGGATTTAGACTTCATTATTGATGCATTCCCTAAATTAAAATACAGTCGTGTACAATTTACATTGCAAAAAACTATAATCATTATATTTTTTTACGGTTCTAATTTTCTAATAAAATGCGGCCCAGTGCTCTTCTGTGTTCTGGATCCGCCGCTGGACGACGTTTAATTAAGGCCGGCGGCAGTTGTGTTTGCATTTGTCTGCAGGAAGTAAGCAACGGGAAGGATCGGAGTGATGGCGCCAGTGGCGGAGCCACATGGAGAGGAGGGGGTGCTTTGCACCCCCCTTGGGTTTGGAGAAAAATTTTCCGAGTAGGGGTATATACAAATTCGAACCAATGACCATTCAGTTGCAGGAAGAATTTCTTATCATTTCGATCGAGTGAGTTTTGTTATGTAATGCACTTTCGTCTTTATTTATAGTAATAACTTGTTGTCTTTTGTTTAAACTCGCTCATTTTTTTTTTTTGTAGCTCTACAACAGAGAAATTTCTTGTCTTTTGTTTAAACAAAGTTGAAAGTGAAGAAGTACCAATTGAAGTTCACTTGTTTGTTTCACAAAATTAATTCCAAGGTACTTCTGAGTTCTAATTTGTAATATTTGATGAATGGAAGTCTTGATTTGTATGTACTGAACTTATTTGTTTGACGTTGTAACCGTTGTACGTGAAACTATTTTGATGTAATTGTGTGAATTTAGAGTATTGCGTTGTTGACTTTTTGTTTAATTTAAAGTTGACTTTTCTATTGTATAGGTGATTTTTTATGATATGATAAAGACACCCCCTTGGCCAATTTCCTGGCTCCGCCACTGGATGGCGCCACTGGACATTCAATTCAAAAGCTGGGCTGGTCCTCCTTGTGCGTTCACATTTCCAAGGCAATGGGGTTCGGGATTTGCGAGGGAGAGACAGAATCAGAATTCAGAAGATCCCAACCAAACCAAACTCCACCGCCATTGTTATAATAATGGCAACTGGGACCGCCACTCTGGCTCTGGCTCGTAGCAAGTTGCCCCATACCCTGCTCCTGCAAATAGGTATAGGACCAACACATATAATATTTAGTGAATTCAATTTGGAGGATAATAAGTGGGATGGAATTTTCGTCATTCAAACCGGCCGTCTTCATTGATCAGCTGCTTACTTGATCCAATAGACCAATACTCGACGTCGTCTTTGCCTGCCCGGCCGGAATGGTGGTGCAATATGGTTGAGAATTAGGTGTGACTCCCACGGACGCGGCCAACGGAGCTTTACGATAGCTCAAAAGCCAAAAGATAAAGTTTGTTATCTTGTACCTCTCTATTTTAATTAATTAATCATGGACATAAATAATAAAATAATCAAAACTGAAATTAAGAGTAAATGAGTGGTAATTGGGTCATTTTCTAAATCATTTAACGATCACTTAGCGGATAATTAGATGGAATGGTAAACTTGTTACATTAGAGGGGTATGCTTGTGCAAAAGTTTAGTAGAGGATTATGTTTGTTAATTTGCCAAAGTTGAAAAAATCAGAATACTATTAACCCTGTTTTTATGACTAGATAAAAAAGCTTCCTTTTGCATTTGAATCACTAATACTTATTTGTTTTCAAGGGTCCTCAAATTACTATTATTCTCCTATGACCGATATTTTGGTTTGTGCCAGTCAAATATCATTTCAACAAATTGACTTTGAAGAGAAAGAAGAAAGAATATAAAAATAAAAGTGATGAAAGAATAAGATAACATCCAAAACAATGAAAGAACAACCATAATGACAAGGAAATCCTTATCATCAAAAGGATACCATAGGATAAAAGGTCAAAAAATTGCTAACATAAAACTTAGAAATAGAAGAATCCATAACATTATGAGTGACGTACCATACCGTGTAGTTTGGCCGTAGGCGCAAAGTCTATACCAGACTATTACCACATATCCATAACAATTTTTGTTGGCTTTCAATCAATATTTGAACTGAGCTAAAGAGTAAACAAACTCTTCATACAAAACCGAAGAACTATTCATAGATTCAAAAGACCAAAATAAATACTATCGTTTTTTTTTATATAATTTTTTCCACGCATAAATGTCACGATAATCGACTTAATTCATCAAAAGAACTGTATGCTTGAATCTTTCGTGTTGGTAGATTCTGTCTCTGACGTATGTGTCATAATTCTCATATTCATTACTTATTTAATTGACTCAATTTACTTGTTGTTCATTAATGTTCATAAAAATGTCAAAGTTAGTGTATATTAGTTTGCAACAATAAGCTAATTGACAGGGAAAGGAGATTGCTCTGAAAGTTATGACTGTCCAGCCTTCTCCGGCGTCGGTTGGCTTCGAAACTGGTCGGCCGCCGGATACAGGCCAGACCCCTGTTTTGCATCCTGCTAGTGCCCTGTCCTCGGAATCAAAAGAGCTCCCCTCTTCAAGTGCGATGATGGTGGATCCAATCGCCGAAGACGTCCATCTGAGCGCCAAGCCATCGGTGGTAGAGGTGAACAACATTCCCGACAACCAGTTGACCCCTATGATCACGCCATCGAATCAGGCGACGCTGACACTGAAACAACCCATCTCGTATGCGAGCGTCCTCACGGGAGGCCCGATTGCACCAACGTCGCAACCGCTATCAGTCCAATGGACCCCGGTCGGTGAACATGACCTGATCCCCGGCGAGCGAAATGGCGAACCGGCCCTGAGTATTTCCATGGATTTCAAGAACAGGCTGTGCGCCCCGTGGCACCGAACTTTGGTGGTCCGGCTTCTGGGCATCAAGATTGGATTCCACACTCTCTGCTCCCGCCTAAAGGCGCTATGGCGACCGACTGGATCTATGGAGGTCAGGGACCTCGATGAAGCATGCTATCTGGTGAAGCTCAACAATGACCAGGACTACTTTAAAGCCCTAACAGATGGACCTTGGAGGATTTTCGATCACTACATGGCGGTCCAGCAATGGACGCCAAGATTCAAGGTTTCGGATCCCCTCCCAAAAACGATGATTGTTTGGGTTCATCTCCCAGAGCTGAAAAATCCATTTCTACCACAAGGAGGTTCTGAATACTTTGGGTAACTTGATCGGACGCACGATCAAGCTCGACTACCACACACTCACCCAACAGAGGGCAAAGTTCGCACGGCTGGCAGTGGAAGTTGACCTCTCTCGGCCCCTCGTCCCAAGGATTTGGCTGGATGACGACTGGCAGCCTATTGAATACGAGAATCTACCCATTGTGTGCTTCGAGTGCGGAAAAATTGGTCATTCGTCGACATCTTGCCCCCTGCTCCGGCCAACCTCTGCCATGGAAGTTGCTGATATCGCCGATGGCGGCACCCAAGTCTCATCGCCGGAGTCTTCGTCGGAGGTCAACGCGTGCTTCGGCCCGTGGATGTTAGTCACGCGTAAAGGACGGCGGAATCCGAGGGAATCGCACAGTAAAGGAAAGGAGAAAGATTTGGGGAACAACATTAAAGCTAAGGAAAAAGATTCGTGGAGTTTCCAACATGGGGCGCCGGCTAAGAACGGAAAGAATGGGCTGAAAATCAAAGAATCGGAAGTTTCCTTACCGGTGGTGGCGCAACAATCTTCGTCACATATGCAACGGCCTCCTGCCCAAGATAGGAAAGATAATGGAGGAAAGTCATATGGGGAAGGGAAGCAGAATGGTAAGGAGGTCTTGAGGGAGGAGGGCTCTCCCGCTGGTAAAGGTTTGTTGGGCCCTGGCCCATCTCAGGGACCCATCGTGAAGAAAGGCCAGCCCAAATCGGAGGCTGCTAAGACCTCGACACCCCCGTCAAAGCTGTTGCCGGACTCCTCTTTGTTTAGCGGGCCGAATGAGGGAACCTCCTTTGGGCCCCGAGCTCAAGACAGCCCAAAAGTTCTACCTCTCATCCCCCCACCAACGCGTGTCTCTACAGGCCCGAACGGAACAATAATACAAATTATCCAGGTCCCGTCCGAAAGTGGTGACACCCCCGTCAAAGCTATTGCCGGACTCCTCTTTGTTTAGCGGGCCGAATGAGGGAACCTCCTCTGGGCCCCGAGCTCAAGACAACCCAAAAGTTCTACCTCTCATCCCCCCACCAACGCGTGTCTCTACAGGCCCGAACGGAACAATAATACAAATTATCCAGGTGCCGTCCGAAAGTGGTGGCTCTCATCGTCCGGCTGAGCAATCCTCCCCGTCAACGGCAGACAGAACCAAAGGGAAGAGGAGCTCCAAGGGTCGATCGAAGAAAGGATCGCCGGCGAAACTGAACCCCATCCGTCCACTTCACGTTTGGTCCCCGATGAAAGACAGGAAAGCAAAATCGAAATCGAGGATGGCGTCTCTCACCCTCCATGAGATAAATGCTTGGACAGAGGCGGCCCAATCGGCGAAGAGCTACCCGACAGGGAAGGGCCTGAGCGAAGTTCCCCTGCCTCCTTCGAGCCTTGGAGAATCGATGGGCGTCCCGCCCCCCCTCTTCGGCTTTGACTGGCGCTGATGCCTGATTTCACCGCTCCCCCCTGTTCTTCGAGATTTTGGTTTTATCTTTCCTTCTCCCCTTTCTTTCTGCTATACTTTATGTCGTTTATGTCGTCTATTCCGTCTATCAAAATCTTTGCTTGGAACGTTGGTGGTGCAGGTGGCAAGGCATTTGCCCGAGCGCTGAAGCTCTCAATTCGTCAGCATCGGCCAGACTTTGTGATCTTGCTGGAGCCGCAAATCAGTGGGAGTTCGGCTGATTTGGTCTGTGATAAGCTGGGGTTTCCCAACTCCATTAGGGTGGATGCTGAAGGTCGTAAGGGGGGTATTTGGATTTGCTGGGATGACAGACGGTTCTCGATAGAGCTCAGCTCGGCCTGTAATCAGCACATCTCTGTTCGCGTTCGGCAAGGAAGGGGTAGCTCGTGGGTGCTGACCGCAGTTTACGCCTCGCCCCGTCAGCACCTCTAAAGCTCTCTCTGGGACAACATTATCAACCAAAGTAGAATGATGGAGGAACCTTGGATCCTCACAGGGGATTTCAACGCCATACGATCTCTTGCGGAGAAAACTGGTGCCTCCTCAGCAGCTACCATCAGGCGATGCCGGAAGTTCAATAACAGGATTAACTTGGCCGAGTTGATTGATCTGGGTTTCTCGGGTTCGAAATTCACATGGACGAGGGGAGACTCATTTCAGTCCCATAAAGCCAGTAGACTAGACCGGAGTCTCTGCAACTTGAAATGGAATGAGTGTTTTCCTACCACCACGGTGTTGCATCTCCCCCGGCTTCAGTCTGACCACAATCCTATTCTGACAACTGTGGCTACCCAGGGGCCCTCTCTATCCGATTCTCGTCCTTTTAAGTTTGAGGCGGCGTGGCTAACTCATAATAATCTTCAGGATTTTGTTGCAGGTACCTGGGAGCAATGTAGTCAAAATCTCTATTTTAATCTTAAAATCTTACGATTTTACGATCTTACCTATGGGTTCCGATCCTGATTTTAATGTAAAATCTTTGAACCTTAAAATCTCATAAAATCCCGATTTAAAACTCTAAAATCCTTAAAATCTACGATTTCTACGATTTTGTACGATTTCAAGGTTCATATCAATTGGATCAAAATTAGGCCGGTCAAGTTGGGTTATGCCCATGAACCGAGTCAAATTTACTTTCCCCAACCCAACATAATGAACAACACAACCCCAACCTGATAGTTAACCCTCAATTTATTTTCATTCTCTTCCTCGTATCTTCCTCTTTCGCACGTCGGCGCCCAACTCCTTCCATCAACGATATCTTCCACCCTCCCAATTAACTTGTAGTTTGTTCCCACCACCCTCACAATAATCCAAATCTCCATTACATTGCAAGCTTTTCTTCATCTCCCAATCCTTCAGCACCACTAACCCGACCTTTTATCAATTATGAAGGGAATGCATCAATCAATGAGTTATCTTTTCCAGATGATGGTAATCAAGGAAATATGGTTAATGGTGAAAGTACTTCAAGTGATCATAAGAGTAATGATATTAGTCCTTAAACAAATAAAAACGATGAGAGTAAGGGTGAGGTTGAGGATGATGACGATGATGTGTAAGTGATGTTAATGTTGATCCTAACGATCTTATGTGATTTTCTACTCTTAACAATTACTTAACAGTGATATCTATAATGTTTCAGGTTTCTTATTTGTGTGTTTCTATTATGCAAGAAAAATATATGGATTAATTGTGTTTGTTTAGCAAACAAACTTATCTTGGAAAGTAATTATGCTTTATGTGGTTGATTGTTATTCAAGATATGCATTTTTATTAATATCTAGTGCTTTAAGTATTTATTTTAATATGAACCTTAAAATCTTACGATTTTACGATTTTAATCTACGATTTCGATTCTACCTCAGTTTTCGATTTTACTTAAAATCTAGATTTTGACTGCATTGCCTGGGAGGAGGAGGCTCAACTTGATCATGCGCTTGCCTCTTTGGCAGAGAAACTCAAGGAGTGGAACAAGAATGTTTTTGGGAACGTACAGCAGAAGAAGAGGAGATTGTTGGCCAGATTGCACGGTGTTGAAACTAGACTCTCTCAGGCCTTTTCACCAGCACTGGCAAAGCTCCATGCTAAGTTGGAGGCTGAGCTTGACAAGGTGCTTGAGCAGGAGGAGCTACTGTGGTTTCAGAGATCTAGAGAGCAGTGGGTGAAATTCGGGGAGAGGAAGACGGCGTACTTCCATCATCAAGTCAATGTTCGGAGAAGACGCAACAAGATCCTAGCCCTACATGATGCTAATGGGAACTGGGTGGAGGAGCCTCAGGCTCTTGCTGCCCTGGTTTTTGACTCTTTGGCTCGTTTGTACTTGCAGGATGATTCTATCTACGAGGACAGACTACCTAAGAACGCTTTTCCCAGACTTGACCAGGGGGAATGGATGCTCCTCTTGCGCCCTTTCTCCGCCATCGACATTCACAAAGCCATCTTTGATATGAAGCCGTACCAAGCGCCCGGTCCTGATGGGTTCCAGGCAGTCTTCTATCAGCAGATGTGGCGAGTGGTGGGCAAGGCCTTAACAGAGTTGGCTATTAATTTCTTTTCTACAAGTATCTTGCCAGAGTCGATCACGGAGTCTACGGTGGTGTTGATTCCAAAGGTGGATAGCCCGAAGTTCGTTGCTCAGCTGCGACCTATTTCCCTCAACAACGTCAATTTGAAGGCTATCACAAAGGCAATGACTAGTAGACTGAAACCGGTGATGAGGAAGCTTGTCTCACTGAGGCAGAGCAGCTTCATTTCAGGAAGGCAGACGACGGACAACATCATCGTTGTGCAGGAAGCGCTGCACTCTCTCGAGAGGAAAAAAGGGAAGAAGGGAGGGCTCATCCTGAAGATTGATATGGAGAAGGCTTATGACTTGCTGAGATGGGACTTCCTGCACGATACTCTCAAGGAAGTAGGGCTGCCCAGCGCGTGGATCAACTGCATCATGTATTGTGTGGAGCAGAATCGTATGAGGATCCTCTAGAATGGGGAACTGTCCCCAACTCTGACCCCGACACGGGGAGTGCGCCAGGGAGACCCTCTTTCACCCTACCTTTTTGTGTTGTGTATGGAACGTCTTTCCCATATGATTGATGAGGCTGTTAATAACAGGAGCTGGAAACCCATCCACCTTACTAGGGGAGGGCCGCCTCTTACTCACCTCTTTTTTGCAGATGATCTTTTGTTGTTTGCAGAAGCAGAGACGAGACAGATCAGGGTCATTCGGCAGTGTTTGGATGACTTCTACTTCAGCTCCGGTCAAAGAGTCAATTACAACAAATCTCTGCTGTATGTGTCGCCTAATGTGGACCGGCAGAGGGCTGAACATTTTAGCAGACGAGCTGGCATCCCTCTCAAGATGGAGTTGGGAAAGTACCTGGGGCTTCAGACTATTCACGGAAGGGTCACCCAAAGCCGTTATCAGAACCTTCTCCTCCGCATTCAACAGAAGCTGGCTCCCTGGAAGGCGAAAAAACTTTCCTTTGCGGCCAGGCTTACTGTTGTCAAATCTGTTTCGTCCTCCCTTCCTACCTACTGTATGAACACGAAATTAATCCCCAGTTCTGTTTGCAAGAGTATTGACAGGATGAACAGAGACTTTATTTGGGGAGACGAGGAAAACAAATCAAAGATGCATCTGGTGGCCTGGGAGAAGATGACGCAGCCCAAGGTGCAAGGTGGAGCTGGCTTAAGATCTCTCAGGCAAGCAAATCTTGCGATGCTTGCGAAGAGCGGCTGGAGACTGATGAAGGAGAAGGATAACCTCTGGACCCAGCTGATGGTAGCCAAGTATGGTCGTCAGAGGGAAAATCTTGAGCTCATCCGTCCTATACAGGGAAGTTCCTTTACCTGGAGAAGCTTTGCTAAAGCTTCTGACCTCCTCCGGAAAGGTTGTGCTTGGAATATAAAGAACGGTAAACACACTAAATTTTGGCTTGATTCGTGGGTTTTACAGGTTCCGCTTAAGGAGGTTGCCCTTGGTCATATCCCGGAGTCTGATGTGGCGGAGCCGATCGAGAATTTCGTGGAGGAAGATGGAACCTGGCGGATGGAGCTGTTTGAGGACCTCATCCCAGGTGACGTGTTTCAGAAGATCCTTAGCATTGGAGTCGACAAGATGGCCACGGAGGATGATACCATCTTCTGGTCAGCTTCGTCGGATGGAAGGTTTTCGGCGAAGTCAGCATATTCTCTCCAAAACCAGAGACCGCCCGACCCGGATGAGGATGTTTGGAAGATCATCTGGAGCCTCCCTATTCCGGAAAGGATCAGGAGCTTTATGTGGATTACTTTCTTGGGGAGATTGGCGACTAAGTCTCTTCTGCATGCAAGGAAAGTTACCAACAACCAGAATTGTGCTTGTTGCGGGCACCCGATCGAGTCCATCTTGCATACTCTGCGTGATTGCACAGCGGCCCGTTATTTTTGGCTTCGTCACAGCCCGCCTAGCCTCCTACACAGCTTCTTCAACCTCGACGGGAGCAACTGGCTGCGTGAAAATCTTAGGAGCAGCGAGCAGCTAGGCTCGGGTATGAGCTGGGCGGCCTTTTTCAGCGTCGCGTCATGGCTCATTTGGAAGAATCGGTGCACGTCCTGTTTCAAAGGTCCAAGGTCAGCCCTCTCCCCACCTTCCCTTGAGTTCTCGATTATGGCCAAGAGTAGACTGTGGCATGAGGCTTGGCAAGCTCCCTCTCCTCTCCCCAATGGCAGAGGGCCGACGACTGCCCGAACTACAGTGATGGTTGGGTGGACCCCCCCCGAGACATGGTTGGGTGACTCTAAATGTTGATGGGGCCTCTAATGGTAACCCCGGAGCTGCTGGGGCTGGAGGTGTGCTTCGTGACTGGACAAGTAGATGGATTGCTGGTTTCATTGCGAATTTGGGGACGGCAACGGCTGTTTTGGCCGAGTTGTGGGCTATTTTTCATGGTTTGGATATGGCTTGGAAAAAAGGGTGCCGGGCGGTGCGCCTGGAGTCTGACTCCCAGCTTGCGATACAGCTCATCAACAACAGAAATGATCCTGTGCACCCTCATGCTACTCTTCTCTCAGCGATCCGTAGGAGGATTAGTCAGGAGTGGTTGGTAAGCATCACTCATGTATACCGGGAAGGGAATAGAGTCGCGGACTGGCTCTCGAAGCACAGTCTCGTCTATCCCTACGGTGTGCATGAGGTTGCTAACCCACCACCCGATTTAGCCTCTATTGTTAGAGAGGATGCCATGGGTATTTCTTTTGAGCGCCAGATTGTGGCGCCTACTCCCGCTATCCTGTAAAACCACCTGGGTTTCTTCGTTCTCGGCTTTTGCCTCCTTGTACGCAAAAAAAAAAAAAAAAAAAAACTAATTGACAACCAGATTGTAACAGAGGTGGTTGAATCCAAGTTAAAACAAAAATATACAAGTCAATAAAAAACAATAAGAAAAGAAAAAGGTTTTTACTCTCATCCTTTATATATAATCCCACTCAAAAGTCAAGAAACCAAAAAAAAAAAAAAAATTATGCACAAGAAGATTATTCATCCTACCCTAAACCCATATATTAGTAGAACAGCCACTGAGAAATCCATCTGCATCATCCATTATTGATCCCACCCATCCAATCATATATCCACTTATCATCATAGTAATCCACAAGTTTATAATTGTACCAAAAGATATCCTGGTAAAAAAACCGGCAACGCAATCAAGGCGGGTTGAAAAGCGGTAGCGCAGGTCCCAATGGAATCCAATACCCTTCTCTTTTGTTGGTGAGATTAATATTTACATTGGTGGGCCCTTGCAGCCCATAATCTTGATTAGAAGCCCTGAAATCCAATCAACACTCGACACGTATACGGCCAAATAATTAAACATTCAATTAGAAATCCGCTGACGATCGATACAGGAAGTAAGCTATTAAAAAAATAAAAAATCATAAAGAAAGAAAAAGAAAAATTATAAATCAATCCGCTGAGTTTCGTCATCTTGCCTCCACAGACAGTCCACACGCTAGCACGAAAGAGGCTGCCTACCTTGCCTACATAAGCAGACTGATTTCCAATTCCTCTATCAATCCCTCGGAATCTTCAGAATCTGCCAGCTTCTTCCCCCCACCCTTCCTTCCTTTTCCTCTCTTTCTTTCCCAATTCGGAAGGAAGAGCTCGAGATCCCCGAGAAGAATTCTTCAACCACCCCCCGCCGCCGGGGACGCGGGCCACCGGCCGGCTCTTCCTTCTCCGCCTGCCCAATTCTTCCATCATCTTACCACATATCTCATTTCTCTGCCCTTGTCGTTTTAATCAGTTTCATCGATACCAAGGGTCGTGATTTCTGCAAGTGAAGAGGTGAAATCCAGGGGATATAATTGGGCTTGTATTCCGGAGCTTGGGGGGGATTAGAAAGGGGCGACTGGGATTAGGTTTCTGATGGGTTTTCTGGTGGATTCGCAAAACGATGGCGGACCCGGGTTCTGGGGAGGTTGCGTGAGGACTCTGATAAGGAGGAAGCAGGTTGATTCCGCTGACGGCAATGTTCACGGCCACGGTGGTCACCACCAGTTGGCCAAGGAGCTCTCCGTTCTTCATCTCATTGCCATTGGTATGCCTGAATTCCGGATCCCAAAGCTTTTATTTCGTTTCCTTTCGAGTAGAATTCAATCGAGCGGTTTTCTCCTTCTTCGTTGCTCTGGTTTCTTGTCCTTTCATAGTTGTTGAGTCATTGATTCGTGTTAATTCTCGACTGGGAGTGAGTCTGCTTTGGATAAGGTTCGTGGGTTAGCAGCTCAACTTGGTTCATTATCCTTTTCTATTTGTTTTATCTGTAGAATTAATCGCAACTTACAGTGAATTGTGATGATGACCCTACAGTCCCTACTCCCTGTCAACTGCTTTGGCTTCTCTCTTCTTTTACTCCTTTACTATGGTGGATCTTTCTTTTTCTTGTTTGATAGTGTTTTATGGGGTGTCACTCTGCTGACTAATGGTGGTTGCGCTTTGGATCAGGCGTTGGCTCGACGATTGGAGCTGGAGTTTATATTCTCGTAGGGACTGTTGCTAGGGAGCACTCTGGGCCAGCACTTGCCATATCTTTTCTGTTCGCTGGATTTGCTGCCGCTTTATCAGCCTTCTGCTATGCAGAACTTGCGAGTCGCTGCCCATCTGCTGGCAGTGCCTATCACTACTCGTACATTTGTGTTGGAGAAGGGTAAGTAAAATCAGCTTCTGATGTCTTGAAAGTTGTTTGCTTTTAGATGGTTGCCCCTTTCACTTCACTTCTCGATCGGAGTTGTTGATTGTTTTTATCTCATCATTTTTCGTTGAATTAATATTCAAAAAAATGGTTGATAAGGCTTCAGAGTTCATTTGCAGTATCTTGTTAATTTGGTGTGTCCTAAAGCATTAAAAAACAAATGATTGCGGGGTTTGGTGTTGATTCGGTTGGTTCCTTAACAAATTCAGCGCAGGTTATGTTCTTAGTAGTTGCAGTTTCAGTTTGCATGTCACTTTTCTTCTTTCGTGAAGATTTAGTGATCTTACCAAAAACCTCTTTGATGTGCAGAGTTGCTTGGTTGGTTGGCTGGGCTCTGATTCTGGAATATACAATTGGCGGGTCAGCAGTTGCTCGTGGCATTTCCCCCAATCTGGTTATTCAACTTAACTTGCTCAAGCTATTTTTGTTTTTCCCTTGGTATATTGTTTTCCTTCTTGCTGGACTGTTAATCGGATGCAATGTGACACCGTTGTATAGATGGACATCGGTATATTCAGTACCTGAATTCTTGAAACTACTTTTGTTATTGTGATCCTCATTTTTCTGTGAATTCTCAGAAGTCATAACTAGTCCCATTAGGAATGAGAAGCAAAATTTTGGGTTTGGTTGAGAGTCTTTAGACAGCAACATGTGGGTTGTCAGGTTCAATTGTATTGGTTTTCTGTCAAGTGGCATTCACAATGTTTCCAGGATCTCTTTGCACATGTTGGTCCAATTCTTTTTATTTGTTTAAACTGATAGGTCTATTATTTCTTGTGGGCAGGCATTGCTTTTTGGAGGCGAAGGCAGTCTTCCATTTTTCCTGGCACGTCAAGCGATCCCGGGGCTTGGTATTGTGGTGGATCCATGTGCTGCAATTCTTGTGTTTGTTGTCACTGGGCTCTTGTGTGTGGGAATCAAGGAGGTGCCTTCTTTTTTTCCTGTCTCTTTTTTCAATTTTGTTTTCCTGCTTCTGTTCTTTACTCGTAACTAAAAAATTCCTTGCTCTTACAGAGTACTATGGTACAAAGCATAGTGACCATAGTGAACGTTTGTGCCATGTTGTTCGTCATAATAGCTGGAACTTATTTGGGCTTCAAGACTGGCTGGCCCGGATATGAGCTTCCTACTGGGTGAGTAAATCTTTAGATATTCTATTCTTGGTAAAAAAAATGTTGGTTTATTATAATTTTCCACTAACAACATATATGCAAATGAGCAGGTACTTCCCCTTTGGTGTAGATGGCATGCTTGCAGGTTCTGCCACTGTCTTCTTTGCTTACATCGGTTTTGATTCAGTTGCCAGCACAGCTGAAGAGGTTGGCACCTCTCTCCTTTCTACTCTGATAATCCCCCCATCCCCCTTTCTTCTTGAGGCTTCCCATGTGTTTGGCCACATATGAACTTTGTGTTTTTTGAACATTTATGAACAGGTGAAGAATCCTCAACGTGATTTGCCGATGGGAATAGGGTTTGCATTGTCCATCTGTTGTTCCCTCTATATGCTGGTGTCAATTGTTGTCGTTGGTTTGGTGCCCTACTATGCAATGGATCCCGATACTCCAATCTCATCTGCATTTGCTGCTCATGGGATGCAATGGGCAGCGTAAGTCAAATACATAGTAGCCAAGCTGTTTTTTTATATGACTCTAGAGGTATTTGAAGTTTGTTTCTTACGACCGTTGCTTCTGATTTACAGTTACATCATAACAGCTGGAGCTGTCATGGCACTGTGCTCCACATTGATGGGGTCAATTCTACCTCAGGTAAATCAACTGGAATTAATCTCTTAGGTGCGTTCAATTTCTCCAGTTTTACTGCATTGACAGACTGTGTAATTATTCCCCATTATTTATCTTATTGTAGCCTCGCATCTTAATGGCTATGGCTAGAGATGGATTGCTGCCATCATTTTTCTCAGATGTCAATAAAAAAAGTCAAGTTCCTGTGAAGAGCACTGTGGTGACTGGACTCTGTGCCGCCACCCTTGCATTCTGTATGGATGTTGATCAATTGGCAGGCATGGTATGTTTCAGTGTTCCAACCAATTCCGCTTATTACAATTAAAGATTTTGATTTGTGAAACAGTGGGATCTCTTTATGATAACGATTGGTTGCGTTACCTGCAGGTCAGTGTGGGGACACTGCTTGCATTCACTATGGTTGCTATTTCTGTCCTAATACTCAGATATGTACCGCCGGATGAGGTGCCTGTTCCATCCTCACTTCAGGACACAATAGATAGTGTGTCATTGCATTACAACAGAATTAGTGAGGGTTCTAGTAAGAATAAGTCAAAGTCTCATGCTGGCACTTCCAAGGATTCTAAACAGCCTTTGCTTGTTGGAAAGAATTCATCAGCAGACTATCCTGACCTTGTCAAAGAGGACCCTTCAGTTAAATGTAAGTTGGTTGTTCTTTTGCTTGAAGCAGTTTATTTTTTAACTGCTGATTTATGTCCATCCAAGTGTTTGATATTGGCAGGAGTTTGTGTAGCTATAACTACATTATGGTCCCCCAATGTTTGCTGCCCCTAAATTTATTCTAAATGTAGAGACCGACGAAGTTGTATGCATAAGACTGTATACTTAATTTTATTTTTTCCTGTGTTATGTTTTGTTGATTGGTTCAGATGTGTTGAATGAAGAGAAAAGGCGGAAAATTGCTGGCTGGACCATAGCATTAACATGCGTTGGGGCATTCACGCTAACATACGCAGCTTCGAGTTTGGCTATCCAGTGGTGGGTTGTGCTCCCTTGGTCCAGCATGGATACTCATAACTCGTTATATCACCAAAGCTTATAGTTGCCCATGAAATTTGGCGAAATTAGCTGAGATTATGTTTTTGAATTTTCTATCATCAGGCTCGTTCGGTATTGCTTGTGTGGATTCGGTGGAGCTCTTCTCCTGACTGGCTTGGTTGTGCTGACATGTATAGAGCAAGATGAAGCAAGGCACAACTTTGGACATTCTGGAGGTATGTCATCAATCACCCTATTTATATTTCATGATCGTTACTTGCAGAAGTAGGACTCATGATTCAGCAAATAAGCATATAGGTTGACTTGAGGAAGAATTTATATCACTTGCATATCTGCCTTCCTTCAGGTTGCCATAATTGGCTGCTTTTAGAAATGCAAATCATGAATGATGCATTAGCTAACAATTTATAATGTTTGGGGATGTCGCTTTTCCTTCTTCAGGTTTCACATGCCCGTTTGTTCCTCTCCTCCCTATCTTTTGCATTCTGATCAATATCTACCTGCTCGTCAATCTTGGGTGAGTATTCCAATATTATGCTTGTCAATATTGGTTTTGATTATCGAATATTATGCTTTTCTGTCACTCCAATCTGAATATATATTTTGCATGTTTCTTAAAATCTTGCAGTGGTGCCACGTGGGCTCGTGTCTCTGTATGGCTGGCGATTGGTGTCGTTGTGTATTTGTTCTATGGCAGAAAACACAGCTCGTTAATGGATGCAGTATATGTGCCAGTGGCTCATGCTGGAGAGATATATGGAAGAAGAAGCTCTGGAGATACTTTGGCTTGATGATGATGGGTTGCTTAGTTCTCAGAGTTAGGAATCCGGACATGGTGTTCCCAGTTGGAGTTGGAACTCTTTCTAGGCAACAGAATCTCTTTGTTGTATGAAAAGTTCAGTCTTGTAAGCTTTAGAATCAATTGGCATATCTTGTATTCTCTATCCACTCCACATATATATAGCAGCAGCAGTAGCAGAGACTGAAATCAGTTTCTCTTTGTAACATATTCATTGCTGTATTATGAACTTTATCCACTTCGGCGAACTTGTGTGATTTGGCAATATAGATTGTACATATGTTGTGCCAAGTTGAAACACATTGTTCTTCCACTTCCCTGAGGAAAATTCATTATTATCGTTGTCTTACTGTCCAAAGTTATCAAAAGAGTCTCCATCCCAAATTTCGGTTAGCTTCCGTGTTAAAAGTAAGTCTTTGGTTCCTTTGGATGACATTTTTTTTAATGTTGGTTGGTCGTTACATTAATACGACATTCGAACATACCAAATCCTTATATAAAATAGCTGGTTTTTTAAGTAAAAGTTCCCAAAACCAAATCTTCGTCCAAACGACCGCTTGATTATTGGTTTCATTCCATGGTGAAATGACTAAACTGCCATTCTTAAGTTGTTGCTTCTTGCCATTTGCAAGGTGCAGTACCATGCAGCCGAGCTAGGAACACATCTGATCATCTGCACTATAACTTACCTTGCCTACCTATTCAAGTCATCTGATGTTTTTCCTCCAGCAGTATTGTCTTCTCCCACCACCAAGAAACTTAAGCTAGTCGTCATTCTAGCATCAGAAGACCATAAGCTTGTCGTCATTCTGCATCTGGTTAGACATTTATTATCACCGATACAAGCTGCTGAACAAAGCTCGGGTTGCTCACAGTACAAAACCATCACAACAGATCAACTGAAAGATAGCAAAGAAGAACCAAGTCTGTTTCCTAGCATTCTCTTTATCACCTTGTGTTCATTGCCTCTATCGAAGCGCAGCAATGCAGGCCAAGTGAGTTCATCGCAGGGAAACACCACCCTGAGGCAATACAAACCAAGCTGAGGAATCCGACTGCTGCAAGAAAGGTGAGCAATACACCACCTTGATCCACCGTCACTACCCAACCACGGCGACTCTAATATGGAACAACTTCGCGAGAAAGGTGGGAGTGGAGGCGGTCCATCTGAGTGCAACAACCAGTACCATTCCAACAATGAACCTGTTGTGGCTCTCTTGACTGGATGGTTCGATGACAAGCGAAGGTGATTATCTCATGGTATGATGCTTGAATACAGTAAGGGCAAGGGCCTTAATGTGGATTCTAATTAGTTGTTTGAATAAATGAATCGAAACTGTTGTGGTCTCGTGGACATATACATACATATACCATGTAATATGTAATGGAAAATTCAAACAATTCTATGCTTTAAGCTTTGTTTTGTTTCAAGTTGAGTTCCACCTTCAGGAGTCGTGGGGTAAAAGCAAGATAATTTACACGGTATTACTACATTGTTGTCTCCTTATTTTAAGGTACACTCATGAAGGTTCCTCCTTGTTCAAGGAACCAAAAAAAGGGAAAGTAAAGCACAAAATTTGAAGGCACCAGATTACATGGAGTTGAGCATCAGTATTAGCTTAGGAAGATTCTCCAGAGCTATTGTGAAAGCTGCCCCCAGCATGAAGATCAAAATGAAGGCAACCAGTATCTTCGCCATGTACCCTGCAGTAATTGCTGCAGGCTTTGTGACTGTCGTTCTTCCTGGACGCGAGCCATCAGAGTTCTCCTGAAAGAAGGCAGACAAAACATCGACACAAACTTAGTGTTACAGTGTAATGAACTCTATGAGCTATAAGCCATGTCCAGTTAGCTAAGAAGCACAGAGCTAACGATGAACATGATAGAAGAGGGGACGGTTCTCCAGCTTTTACTAGACAGCATTTTCAACGGTGTCAAACAATATTACAGCCAGCCTGCACTAGCTCAAGGACCAGAGCATATAAATGACTTATCTGTCGAGAATGTCACCCCTATGCAATTTCCATTGCGGGATCCTATAGTCGGTTTTTGGGTTTTAGATTCGGAAAAATTGGAAGACAGCCATAAGAACAGTGTTGAGAAAACAAATTGAATCAACTTCTCAATCCAGCATGCTGCCCTGTATTTCAGAATCTATGCTTTCAACTCTAGCCAGTAGAAGTTTGTCAACTGCAAAGCATATCCTATATGTTCTCCTGCAATAAGTTCCCTCATCCATTTTTCCATTAACAAATTCACCACACAGGGAGGATCCTATTACCACAATTATGGTATGAAGTTCTGATTCTTTTTTCCTCAACATTACAAAATGTAGAATGCAAGCGAAGAAGAAATTCGTACCGGTGCCGCAGCTGGAACCCTTGGAGGCGGGGTTGCTGTAGCTATCAGTGGAAATTTTTCCCCTAGCATCACACCTGCTCCCATTGAATCAAACCAAATCCAAACTTTAGACAAGAGAAAACATAATTACATACTACTGAGAATTTCCCACAAACAAAGGGAAGATTTTGGGGGAAGTTTTTACTTTTACCAGGAGGAGGATAATCTAGGTCAGTGACCGCCTGCAACTTCCAGCCATTGCCATAGTCAACGAGAGCAACATCTGGGCCGAAGCTGACGGGCTCCTCGCCTTCTTTGATGGCTTCGATGGCAAAAGCCAGAGGTTGCCCATTATTCAACTTCCTGTTTATCAGAGAGACTGCGAACCCCGCCTTCGTACCGGCTGCAAAGCGTCTCTTTTTCTTCGAAGGTTTGCACTCTACTTCCAGAAACTATCGCGACAAAATGTCCAAAATTGTCAGAGCAGAATTGTTAGGCGGGTTGCTTCGAATCAATTCCCAGTCTTGAGAATTCCAGGGAAAAACATCAGGACATTGGATATTTGGAGGGAGAGAGAGAGAGAGAGGTGCTTACAGGAGGAGAAAGCTGGGGAGGAGGTTCGGGGTCGGAAGCTTCAGCCGCCATGGAAATTTGATGTGGAAGTGGAACCAGGAGGGAAGTCAAAGTCTCATCTCATCTCTCAATCAATGCTTCAATTTGTCAGCGCACTTTTATTTCCTCTCGTGGTACATATATGGGCCAATATAAAGAGTTCGCGAGAAACATTGGGCCTGGGATTTCAGCCCAATTCTTGTTCACAAATATTAGCTTTGGCACGTTAAGCAATAAATAGCCAAACCAGAAGTCCGATTGACAAGGCTTCAGGAATCAAGAGCCGACTGACTGTTAGGCATAATGTGTGCAACAGTTTGGTACGAACCGAACCAAATCATTGAAAGTCATGGTTTGATAAAAAGAACTTAGGATTAAGGATAGGGATGGCAACGAGTTGGGTCGGGGGCGGATAGTGCATATTCGTTACCCTACTTAAAGTAGTTCTGGTTTTATCCATATCCATACCTACATAAGAAACGGGTAGCAAAACAAAAACATGCCCATACCCGTTCGGGTTTCGGGTATCCATGGTTATCCATGGGTACTAATTCTCTTTATAACTCCAACCAATATGTTAACATTCACTTGAATTCTCACATTACATCATATGAAAAGTATGACAATAATTCATTAAAATGAAGAAAATTAATTAAAACAACACAATTTCATGAAAATATTATATTTATATTGCTAAATATAAAGTATGTTAGAGAAAATAATGATTATTTATAAACAAAGTACATATGCATGTGTATAATTAGGCGGGTTCGGATTGGATAGTGAGAAAAACATGCCCACCCATTCCCCGCAATATTCGGGTTCGGATTTTACCCATACTCGCTAAGAGTCCTTCGGGTTCAAGTTTTACCCTACCCGATTAGGTCGGATTCGGGCAGATATCCACGGTTACGGATATTTTTGCCATCCCTAATTAAGGACAAAATCATTATTGCATTTCGTCGCATTTGACCCGATTTAAATAATGAAGTGACTAAGAACAAAATCGCATTATTTTCGATGTGATATGAAATATTCCAAATATTGGTTTGATTTTATAGGTACAGAACAAGCCATTTCATATATATACTTTTTTTTTCGAATAAAAATGTCATATGTTTATCTTTCAATTTCAATATCAAGAATGTAAGAAAGTAGGCCGAGTTTTTTCAACAAAAACAACATGTAACCCATTTGTGAGGCGTTGAAATCCCTCATTGTCAACCTTTGTTTTTCTTATGAGTACTGTCATCCTTTGTTACGATCATATTATTCACATAGATTAAGAAAATCATCATACCTCGATTGAAGCAAATTGTAACAGTGATTGATCATTCAAACCTTTGAACATTGTACAAAAAGGTCACCAAGAGTTTCATTTATAACATGGTAATAAAAGTTTGAGCTTTTATTAAATGGTGACTCTTTCTAATTTGTGATCGTTTTGTTTTGTTGTAAATACAAACTTAATTTTTTTTACCATTTACCATTTATGCTAATTACCCACCAAACCACAGATCAAAGGGCTACTTTCGCTAAGAGATGGCTTTAGTTGAAGTAAATTTCATGTTTGGATGGGACTGCAAATTTGACCAGTAGTTTACAACTCCAGAAACAAGAATGCTTTTCAAATGCTAAAATTAATTCGAGTGTTAACCCTCCAGGCAAAAACATAGAGCCCAATCTCTTGCATATCTAGCTAACTATTCTGAACTTAGATACTGAATGGGATGACTGGCTAAGAATAAAAAACTTCTCTGCAAATTGGATGCAAAGCCTAGAAGTGAAAGAACATGGTTTCTGATAGACCACGCGAGACAAGAAAGAAACAGCTTCAATCAATTGCCTCTGGAGTCTGGAAACCGAAACTGGAAGAGTACAAGTCAGTTTCCGTAACCGTGACAATGGAGCACCAGAGAGCCAAAACAATCCTTCGCATCAACAAAGAGATGCAGAAACAAACCAAGTTAAAGCGACATCATCGTCATTGAGATGCACCGAGAACTCGCATCCTAAAATTATCAGAGAAGGACCAGACAGAGAATACTTAAACATAAGAAGAATGTGAAATAGATGCTGAACAAAAAATCATAACAAAAGTATGCAAGTGGCATATAAACAGCATGCTTAAGCAGACCATTATATACCCATAAACAAGGCCACAAATCCAGAAACGATGTGTTCACGTTGTCCAACTACACTCAACAAATTCACTACAGCTATTGCTACTCAACAACAGAAACTCTGCTGGCAATCTAGCTATAAGCTTGGTCTATGCACGTATTCACAGTCATAATCGTTTCACTCAACATAGCTCATCAATGAAAAGGGCATAAATAAAGAGAGAAAAGATATAAGGTTCCGATTTTAGAGAAGCTACTACATCAGTAAACAAATGACATGAAGTTAGACAGAATAACTGAAAAATGCTCCAACTCTATTGAAAAGGGCACAAAAGAAAATGGTGCAAGGAATCAAAAACAGATCATTTCACAAACCATCTTTTGGCCTTTTGAGGGATACAAACACAATTTCCCCCTCCTTTCTCCAGCCTTTCCCTCTGCCGCCAAAAAAAAGAGGAATACAGCTGCCTTACTATTTTGTCTCCCAATCTTTCAGTTTCTTACTCCCTTTCGGTTTAGCTATAGGAGCATTCATTCCAGCCATCTTGGCATTGTACTTTGCACGAAGTGGATCGTTGTATGTCCATCTGCTCAAACACCAGAAATGATCAATAATTATTTTCATGATCCAACCACAACCCAGAATTCAATCAACAGCAGCAAGACCATAAAGAGCGGCATTTTCATCAGTTGACTATTATATCAGAAAATTAATTGGAAAAAGAAGAAAAAAAACGTGAAAGCTGGAGGAAGACAGATCAGAGGCTTACGGATTATCCCAATCAGTAGTATCTTCATTAACAAGATGAGTCCATTTTGTCCTCCCACTGCGACCAAAGTGCTTCACCTGCATAACCTTCGGCAATATACTCTTGTCCATCTTATCTTCACCAGTTGGTGCAGAGAAATCGCGCTTTAAGACATTCTTATCGGACCCAGCACTTGCAGCAGCAGCACGTTCATCGCCTTCATCCTGAAAGAAAGCACCTTTGTGATAATACTTCTGCATATACCTCCATTTCTGCTTAGGCGGCGGAGCGGGTTTAGGGTTCTTCCTCTCCCATTCCCTCCTCTCTTCTTCAGTCATATTCCTCACTCTCTCAATCTCTTCCTTCTCCTTCAACATCGCCTCTCTATCTTCCCTATCCCTCTTGATCCTCCCAATTTCCCTCACTTTCCACGTTTCATACTCTTCTGCTTCATTCATCTCATCATCGGTATCCACATCAGCAATCTCCGCCTCCATCTCCAAATTCTTCTGAATTTGTTCTTCCTTCTTAATCTCTTCAACCAACATATGCTTAGTCTCCACCTTCCTCTCTTCCATTTTCCTCTTCACTTTCTCCTCAAAAGCCCTTTCTTCTTCGGCAAGCCGCTCCCTTTCGGCTATGGTATCTCTCTCTGATTTAGGCACAAACACAGGTTTCACCATTGCCATACCTGTCGTTTCTTCCTCGGAGTCGGTCTCATATTCGGAAGACTCGTCTTCTTCTGCGTCTTCTTCATCTTCTTCCTCTTCTACAGGAAGCAGTGCAGCTTCCTCTCGCTCCCTCATTCGAGCCTTCTCCCTGATTCTTCTCCTTCTCTCTTCCAGGGCCTCTTCATCTTCTTCCTCGGCGTCTAATCCTTCCAGCCTCTCCTCCTCCTCCGTGGATATAATCTCAGCCTGTCGGATTCTGCGGTGGTCGGCTCTTGCCTCGTCCCGGTTGTCAATCCTGCTCACGGCCAGACGTCGGAGCCTGGGATCGTCTCTCAGGGCGGGATCGGAAGCACCGTCGTGGCTTGGGAAGGCCTTTTCCAGGATGTCCATTTTGGACATCCTGATATCGCCATCTTCGTCTGCTTCGTCTGCCCACTCGGGAGCTTTACCTGGCCAGTACCTCTTCACTTTGGTCGGATTGATTTTGCCTTTGAGTTTGTCTCGGGTGGCCAGTGCCGCATCGCTGACACCCGCCGTGACCGACATGGTTGCACAATCTCCTAGCTAAGTTCCGACCTCTGGACAGATGAATAGAGCTTCCTTTTAAGCCTCCCTCGGCATTCTGGGAGAAACTAGGGTTTCCTATGTCTCAGCGGAAACGAAAAAGGAATCGATTAGGGAGCGCCGAGCTGGAGAGAGAGACAGAGAGCGTAAAGGAACTTACGTGAAGAGTTTCTCCAGCGAGATAGATTTGATTATGATGATGGCAATCGACAAGGACGGCCAGGTGCCGGAGAATGGCGGTGGGGGAAATACGGGATTGAGCTAGGGTTTTTCGGCAGTCCTAATTTGGGCGGTGAATTCCTTCGACGCTAATCGAACAAGATTACAAGAAGGGGACAAACAAGGCCGAAACCGGTTTATACACTCATACCGATTTTTCTGATAGCATGGTTTGGTGGAGGGGTGGCTATACGACATGGTTAAATTTGCCCGAATTGATTTGGTCTGTCTCCGGTCTTATTCAGAATATAAGGACCAAAAATTGGATTGGATACAGTCCAATTTTGATCCAGTCCAGTCTTGAACCGGTTCAGTCTTAATTTTAGATTGAGTTTGTGGGGATTTGAGTGGCCTAAGGGGGAATTTGAGTGGTCTAAGGCCTGAAAGGGTGAGGAGGTTAAATTTTGGGTGTTGGGTTCTCTTATCCGGTTTTCAGTCCGGTCCCAAACGATTTTTTACCTCAAATCTAGACCCGAAAATTGGATTGGATTGTTTGCTATCTGGTCCCTGTCCGATCTCGGTCCGGGTTATACGGTCCGGTTTTGGGTAAAACTAAAAAGCCAGGACCAAATAACTAGCGCTAGTTTGGTGGGTTGGTACAACCTGTTAATATTAACGATCACTTGTATAACAAAAATAAAAACCCGGATACAAACAGTTAAAAGGGCCGAAAACAGTCAAGAAACAAAATCGAACCCCACAAACGAAGAGAAAAACTAAAGTTTTTTCTTGGCACCAAATGGGCCATCATGTTACATCTACGACAAAAAAAATACCTTTAAGCTCCTTGAAAGCATAACTGAAGTCTCTAATCTCCTCCAAGACCGTATCCCCACGGGCATCAGTTATCTAGCCCTCCCGAACCATCCTTAACATCATGTGTGCATCACCTGCATAAACTACTGAGCATATCCCTCTGGCTAGGCACCACTGAACTGCGTTCTGAAGGGCCAAAAGCTTCACAAGAAATGGCTTTGTGATCCCCTCATACAAGGCTATTGACGCCGCCACCGTGCTTGTCTAGTCCTGCAAAACCTACCCCATCCCCCCCCCCCCAAGAGGGTGCCCCATGGGAGACTCAAGACGTCGCACCATCAACAAAAATCACTAACTCACCTCTACATTGACGCAGACGAGCACCTAGACTAGTCGAACTAGCATCCCACTCTGCAATCTGCAAGCAAAACTGAGAAAGCAAAACAGGGACAATATATTGAGTAGATTAAAAAACTATCCAATTCCTAGCACACCAAACACGTCAAAACATAACAACCCTCATCAAGTCACCGCGAATGAGTTCTTGCCACACCAATAGCCTACGCCAGAATATCCTCATATGGCATGTGGGGAATCGGATCTTGAGCATTGCTATATCTGGCCCTTCCCACAACCCAACCTACACGCGATAGCAGAAAAAGAAATGCTCTAGAGATTCCTGCTCTTCTTTGCAGACTGAACATTGCTCTATCCCACCCTCCCCACCAAGAGCTTAGTGCCTCACTAGTCGGCAAGACACGACGCATATACTACCATACAGAGTAATGCAACTTAGGAGGTAACGACCCCCCCCCCCTCCCACACACCAAACACACACACATGCAATCTTTATATAAAGACTACAGTCCCATGCCAACCAGTTCTCGTGTAATGACACCTTGATAAACTAGATATTTAGCCATTTTCTTCTATCTCGTATATGTACTTTTTTCTCCAAGTAATGATAGGAGAAACATAGTTATAAACATCTAGGGGTGATAGTCGGTTCGGTTACGGTTTAACCGAACCGACGGGTCGGTTACCCGACACCAATAAAGAGCCAAATCCCCCCACCGACACCGACGTCGATATACCGACGTCGATATGATTATCGGTTATCCGACACCGACACCGACAAAATACAATCGATTGATCGGTTTCCCGAAACCGAGTGCATCCACCCTCTCGAGTCTTCTCTGCTCATCCTTCTCTCTCCATTCTGCGCCTCCAGGCTCCACCCAATACTTCTCCTCACCTGCGATGAACATGCACGGAGCAGAAGTTGGATCTGTCCGGATTTCTGGATCTGACTGCCGAATCTCGCCGCCGAATCGCGTTGTGGATGGCGGAGAAGGATCTGCTTCTGCCAAATCGCCAAGGAGAAACGGAGGAACACAGGAGGTAGAGGAAGAAGGACTGAGGGATGGATCTGCTTCCACTGTTCTGGATCGTGCTTCGACAAGAAAGGAGAGGGAGAAATCGCCGGTCAAAGTTCTCGTTCGTCGCCACCATGACCCTCGCCGTCAAATCTTTCCGCCAAATCTCACCATTAGGAGGTATAGAGGAACACAAGAGTATGAGGAAGAAGGGAATCACACCGAGGAAGGTGAGATTGAAGGGATTTGGAGAGTGACGAGTGAAGAAGGAGAGGTTTGGAGTTCAGGGAGAGGTAATGAGGGGTGATGGTGAGAGCAGAGAGGGAGAGTCTCTAGAGGTTTGCGGTTTTGGCGGTGCACCGAGATTATATCGGTGTTGCAACCGTCGGTTGCCGGTTAGAAAAAATCCCCCAAACAGCCAACCGAAGCCGACACCGAATCAATATTTTCGTTTATCGGTTCGGTGAATAACCGCGATTTTCGGTTCGGGCTTCGGTTTAACCGAAAAACCACCAACCGATTAACACCCCTATAAACATCTACCTAGGGCTGGCTATTTGGTCTGGTCTTTTTGGTTTTACTCAAAACTGGACCTTATAACCCGGACCGAGACCGGATAGCGAACAATCCAATCCTATCTTCAGGCTTAGATTTGAGGTAAAAAACCATTTGGGACCGGATGGAAAACCGGATAAGGGAGCCCAACACCCAAAACTTAACCAACTCCTCACCTCTTGAGGCCTCAGGCCACACAAATTCTCACAAGGCTAATCTAAAATTAAGACCGAATTGGGACCGGACGGGGTCAAGATCGGACTGTATCCAATCCAATCTTTGGTCCTTATATTCCCAAAAAGACCGGACCAAGACCGGATCAATTTGGGCTAATTTAACTGGACCTGACCGTATAGCAACCCCTATCTCTACCCAGCACCCACCCACCCAGGCCACAGTTAGTGAAGCCACCCTACAAAGTCAAAGTAAGCTATCTCTACAGAAGACAACAACAGGGCTTGTCTTGCCACTCTATGGGTAGCCCAGTTGACAGTCCGCGGGAAATACCTAAAAAATATACAAGAATTACAAGAGCGCAACAAGTGAAAACAATCACGCAGCAAGGGACCGCCCACCAAGTCTTCGATACACCTATTATCAAGTTGTCGGGTGACCACTTCATAATCTCCTTCAACAATAACTCGAGGCAAGCTATGGGATAACACTAGAGTGATGACGTCCCTGGCGGCAAGTAGCTCTACAAGGTAGGGGTTTGAAACTCCCGGATGATGAAATCCCAAGGCCAATTAAACTTGCCCGTCTGTCCCTCGAATGACAAGGCCAGACGAGCATCCCGAATCACGAACAACAGCGTCGAAATTGACCTTCAGAAAGCCTTCAGGAGGGCAAACCCAGACTGCGGGGGGAGGGAGTAAAGCGGGGAGGAGGAACCTGGGACTGCATGTACTTATGGAAGTTAAAAACTTGTCAAATATTTGAATCAACTTTATGTTCTTTTAGATGATTGAGTGTTGCAATCGTATGACTTCAAACTTGTCATGTTATTAATCATAATTGGTAAAGTATACTAGTTAATAGTTACCATGACATCAACATTTCCATCCAATTACAACCACAATTAAAAGGTATACCATGAACAAATAAGTAAGAAATCATATTTAGTCTAAAACAAAAACTTAGAAGTCTAGAGAAGAGGGGCTCAATCGGGGAGATAGAAGTATGCGTTACTTTCATCAGTCTGTGAAGATTAAAACATCAAAGAGGGCTATCGTGCGAATTAAGAATGAAGCAGGAGAGACTATAACGGATGTTGAGCTGGTAGCAGATGAGGCAGTAAAATACTATCAGAAGCTATTTGGTGTGGTTAATATGGAGGTGGCTCCTGATTTCCAATATTTAAAAGACACAATCCAGAGGCAGTTATCGGCTGACAGTAAAGAATTGCTTGGCAAAACTGTTACTATAGAGGAGATCCGAGAAATAGTCTTCCAGATGAATATCCACAAGGCACCAGGCCCTGATGGATTTTCCTCAGGGTTTTTCAGGAAGACATGGCACATAGTAGGAGGGGATGTTATCAAAGGGGTCCTGAGCTTTTTCAAGGAGAAGAGATTACTTAGTGGGATCAATGCCACTGCTATTGCACTCATCCCTAAGGTACTCAATGCTGAAACTTTTAAGGAATTCCGCCCCATCTCGTGTGTTAATGTTCTCTATAAGATAGTTGAAAAAATTATGGCAAAGAGATTGAGTGAAGTTTTGCCTAGTGTTATTAGCTTGAATCAAACAACATTTATTAAAGGTCGACAGATTGTTGATAATATTATGCTTGCTCAGGAATTAGTTAGTGGATATCATAGAAAGCAGTTGTCCTCACGATGTGCAATAAAAATTGACATCATGAAAGCCTTTGACTCACTGAATTGGGATTATCTTTTCATGATTATGAGATTAATGGGATTCCCTAATCGCTATATGAATTGGATCCATCTCTGTACATCTACAGCTAGATTCAGTATATGTGTGAATGGGGGTATGAAGGGTTTCTTTAGTGCAAAAAAGGGAGTGAGAACAAGGTGATCCTCTCTCACCTTATCTGTTTGCCATTGTTGTGGAGGGGTTGACTGGATTGTTGCATAGAGCTTCTAGTCAGGGGCTGATTCCTTTTCGCCCTATGTGCAGCAAAGTCTCTTTGAATCATCTATTTTTTGTTGATGATCTACTGATATTCACAGTGGATTCGGCTAGGGCAATCATGGCTGTAAAGCAAGTTCTGGACCAGTTTTATTGGCAATCTGGGCTCAAGTGAAATCCTAGCAAGTGCTCTGTTTTCTTTGGGGGTGAATCAGTAATGTATAAACAGAATGTGATTGATCTTTCTGGGTTTGCCGAGGGCTCCCTTCCTGTGAGATATCTAGGATTACCTCTTATCTCAAGCAAGCTTACTGATAGGGAGTGTGAAGTATTAACGGTGGCAATAACAAAGAGAATTAGATCATGGCATGCAAAGAAGTTATCTTATGCGGGGAGGCTACAATTGATTTCCTCTGTAATTGCAGGTCTTGTTCAGTATTGGCTGCAAGTGTTTGTTTTACCAAAGAAAGTTCTCAAGCTTGTTCAAAAGCTTTGTATGGATTTCCTTTGTCATGGCAATGATACTGGCAGGGCTAAGGTTGCTTGGGACCGATTGGCTCGTCCTAAAGCTGAAGGGGGACTTGGAATACGTGAACTAAGCTCCTGGAATATTGCTTGCTTGATTCGTATGCTTTGGCTTTTGATGATGTAGTCAGGAGCACTTTGGGTGGCCTGGATGCTTACATAGAGCTACAACAATGGGGACGTCTGGACTATGAAGGATAATGCAAATAGCTCTTGGGCTGGGAGAAGAATACTAAAGAAGAGATTCATGGTGCAAAATCTCCTTAGCAGGTAGGGGGATTGCGCTGTGTGGAACGGGCAACTAATGAATATGTATTATGTCAAGCTCATTTGGAACACCCTGTGTCCTCAGCACATCAAGGTTGAATGGTTTAAATTGGTTTGGGGGCAATTCAGTGTTCCCAGGTTCAGTTTTATTGCCTGGCTTATCATTATGGATGCCATTACTACAAAAAGTAAGCTTATGAGATGGGGGAAGCTTAATGAAGACTGATGTGTGCTCTATCATAGTTCTAGTGAAACGCGAGATCATTTATTTTTCTCCTGTGAGTTTGTAAAGCAAACAGTGGTTGGGTTCCTCCGCACCGAGCAGGTATGTCGTTCTAATTGGGCGGAATAGTTGGGTTCCGCTTGCCAAGCTACTATGCGTGGCCAGGGAAGTTTCTTCGGAGTAAAGTGGTGTATGCTGATTACATACGTTTGACAGGAGCGTTGCCGACGAATCCATCATGAACCAGAGCGGGATGTGAATGTGCTACAAGACTTAATGAGGAATGACTTACAAATGTTGAAAATTTTGTAGCTGTTTGTAGTTACATGTTAGTAGAGGGAGTGGCTAGATGAGGATCTTTCTCTTTTGCTCTTTCTTCAGGGTGACCACAATGGCAGCCCTTTCGCTGTATTGGTTTTGCGAATTGCAATTTCCATTTACTTAATAGTATAGGGAAACTGATTCAATGAAGAAAAAAACTTAGAATAATTATTATCTTTATAAACATTCAAGTGATGGAATTCTGATATGATGTTGTGTGTGTTTTAGGCAAACGAGTTCATTTCAGCCTGAATTTCGTCCTTATGATTGCTATTTGAAGAGTAAAAATTAGGAAAGCTTTCTTTAACACAAGTAAAATGCATTTAAACGTAATAAAACATGAAAACAGTCATAAACACACTCAAACACATTCAAACATGAACACTCTTAAACATTCATCAAACTGATAATTGACTATACTAATAAAGGCATTCATATAAAGATGAAGTGATGGATCACTAAATCATCTAGATAATAGATTAGTAGTATGACTAAACTTTGGTACAAATAATGAACCAAAGAATATGCAAACCATCAACGAAAGTGATGAATTGAATGGTTTCAACTATAAAAAGTGTTTCATAAATTGTTCAAATCTTATTGGATTGTACGTATCAAATTATTATTAACAAATATAATTTTCTTTCCAAAACATAAGTTTAAGTATTCATATTAATAAAGGCATTCATATAAAGATGAAGTGATGGATCTCTAAATCATCTAGATAATAGATTAGTAGTATGACTAAACTTTGGTACAAATAATGAACCAAAGAATATGCAAACCATCAACGAAAGTGATGAATTGAATGGTTTCAACTATAAAATTCAAATCTTATTGGATTGTACGTATCAAATTATTATTAACAAATATAATTTTCTTTCCAAAACATAAGTTTAAGTATTCGTATTAATAAAGGCGTTCATTAAAGATGAAGTGATGGATCTCTAAATCATCTAGATAATAGATTAGTAGTATGACTAAACTTTGTGGTACAAATAATGAACCAAAGAATATGCAAACCATCAACGAAAGTGATGAATTGAATGGTTTCAACTATAAATAACTTGGTTCAATCGGTATAGGAAAATACCCGGTAGGAAGATCACCGATATGAATGGGAAGTAAAAAACTCCGGTAAATATGGTGCAAGTTTGTCAAAACGAAGAAAATAGTAGTCCGATTGAAACGATCAATTTTCATTTCCTAAACAAAATTGACGTCTTTGTTGGTGGAATTAATTAATAAAAAGAATGAAATTAGTTGGATTTAAGTATGAACATTGTAAATGTTCATGTTATTTGTTGGATCAAATATAAATGTTTTGAATATCAAGATTAAATATTGCATTTAAGTATGATAATTTAGTTATTTTGTTTGTATAGTTGTATTTTATTTAAATATGAATGTAGACTATCAAAAGATTGTTTTAAGATAAATTATATATATAAATATTCACTTGGCATGAATGATTCCTACTTTCCTCTCATGCCTAAATTGATATAAACTAACATGCAAATCGATTATACTCCGGTCTTAGCATACCACTTGCAAAATAAACTTAACCGTATACCCGGTTTGCTTGAGAGTCTCCTTGTCGCGCAATTACAGCAGAAGGCAATGATATATCCATAGTCATTCTTCACCATATAACCAAGCCTAAAAGACTATGGAGATAAGAAAACATGAGGAAAGCAAGGAAAAAACGATCTCTCTGCTACAAAACAGTAAATCGAAATGAGAGAACCAGTTCGCAAGAACTCGAATTCAACACATCAAGAGATAGCACTTTAATAGTTTCCCGAATATCAATCAGTTAAGAATGAAATAGTGACTGATACAAACAGTATAGTAAGTTCAGAAACAAGCGCCCCTCCAGATGCCCCAGAAATGCAATCTCAAATGTAAAACCTTCCCCCACTCCCCTACGGATCTCATGGTAGAAACAACACTGATGAATGAATTGCATTATGTTGCCTCTTTGGAGAATTGCATTGCGGAGTTCTCAGGCAGCAGCACCAAGTACACATGATTCTTTTATCCACCCGGATGGTTCACACACTCAAACGTCGTATTCGGATTCTCTACGCAATGGAGGGAAGCCCCTGGTGCCGCGCTATATCTGAACATCTAAGTGTGGCAGGTCAACAATCAACATGCCACTGTGATGGAGAAAGGGAAGAGAAAGCTACCTTCTTCGTCAAAACTCTGTTCAGCCCATGAGATCGAGAATTTGCAGCTCTAGGCACAATGATTGACTAATTTCCCCATCCCATCAAAAACGAACTTACAATCTATCCAATCGTAGCCTCTCCGTTGACTAATTTGCTTTTTTCAATCAGACTGCTGCTGCCACCTCCGCTGCTCTTCTTTGACTGTTCTTTGCTGACAGTTGCTCCATCTTTGCCAGAGATTCTAGCTGACTTCTTCTGAACCTTCTTTCCTGAGTTACTGGTTTTTGTTGCATCACCGGATGAAGCTTGATCAGGAAGTAAAGCTTTGCGGCTAAGGCGCAGCTGTCCCTTGTCGTTCACCTTAGAAGACATAATGCACTCGATGATTATGGCAGGGAAACCAAAGTCTGTTTAAGGTGATGGAAATGGAAAAAAGGCGGAGAAGTGTTGCATACCTCAATAAGCTTAACATCCACCTTGTCTCCAACCTTAAAGGCCTGTAAGTGAAAATAAGTTGATCTTGCATATCAGAAGAATAATCAGTTAATTTACTTGTAGAAAGAGTTGGACAGAATTGTGAAGCACCTACATCTTCTGCCTTTGGCAAATAAGTTGAAGTGAGTTCACTAATATGACAAAGTCCCTGTAGCAAAGTTCGAAATGTTGCATCATTAAGCAGCAGCTTAGTCTTCGGGAATAAATATTTCTCACTTACAGCTATACAGATGCAAATTAATGGCCTGATTTTTTAAATGTATACCTCACGCCCTGGGGCTATCTCGACGAATACACCGTAAGGAGCAACTGATTTGATCTCACAGTTCCTGATTTTGCAACACACAGGACACAAGCACCCTGAGTTCCACAAACAACTGAGGTATAACAAACACACCAAATAACAATTTCAATTCATACACAGAAAGCTCCTTCCCCTAGGATTCGTAGAAAACTGTAGTGGAATGGTGTTCGTCCTAAAACGCCATAAGCTAAGGAGACAGCCAGGAAAACATAACCGGGTGCCTAGAAATCGTTTCCTTTTGCTTACAGAGAAGACTAACCAATTCAACTGGTCTATCTTGATTCTTGCATGGTAAATGGAAGTTGGAAGTCGGTTTCCTTAGCGAGGGAATGGGAAGGCACTTGCCTCGGCTTCTCTATGATTCTTATGAGTGTCACTAGGATTATACTATGGCTTAGCTCAGATCACTGAAGAACTAAGTTTTTAATGAAACATGGCCAGTTAAAATAGCCAAAAAAATAAAAGAGCCTAGCGCTTCCTGAGGACAACCTGAATATGTCACCAATAGTTGGAACCATTGTAAGCCTAGAGATGATAGATTTTGATTTCTCTATACTTGATAAATCCTTTGCAGTGATCTTTACCTGCAGAGCACAAATTTTAAGAATTCGAAATTAGGTTAGTGCCTAGCAAAGCAATGGAAACAGATATTTTGACCATTGGATCTCACAATGCCATTATCTTGCATGTCAATGGATTCCACACCACTTTCTTCAATGATACTCTTCACCTTCTTTCCACCTGGACCAATTATCATGTTAATCTTCTCTTTATCCACCTGTAGAAAAAAATATTGCAGTTGGTAATGGGAACATAATAACATTCTGGACTTTAATTGTTCTAGCAATACAAATGGAGACATGGATGTTGAACAAACCTTCATAATATGTATGAGTGGTGCATACTTAGACAGCTTGCTAGAAGGGGGTGGAGAACATTTCAACATTTCAGCTGCATAGTGGAGTTAGCAGCAACATGAAACAGAAACAAAAGATCAACAATGATACCATTAATTAACCAAGTAAAATGCCGGAAGGTGGCAATGTATACTTCCAACCAGGTGGAACATGCTAAGTTTAGTATCTAGGGTTTCACAAGGCCCATACACTTGGAACTTCATAGATGTACAAAAACTTTAATATGTGACGGGAAATGAATTAAATAAAATAAGGCAACAATTCAACATATCATGTGAGCTTCCAGCAATCATAGTAGACAATATATTACCAAGAATGCGTTTCCTCCCTTCCCTTGCCTGTAGTAGAGCATCTCTCATAACGGGTAAAGGAATTCCTCCAACCTGAAACATGCAAACGAAAACTGGTCAGAATGTTCACGGTTCTCACGAGAGTGAGTACACATAACATTTATAATGGTCTCCACACTTTAAAGCCACTTATACAGATCATGATTGACAATGAAGATCACTGAAGCAGAACAGAAAGTTTATGACCTTTATGTCCATCTGAAATGCAGTTATTCCATCCTCATTTCCAGCAACCTACAATCAGCATTTTATTATTAGAAGTAAATATTGCAACATCTACAGCTGAACTCAAGCAGAGTCTTTTAGGATCATCAAATAAAACATTAAAAGCAGCAAGTAAAGGACATTATTCGAAATGACCTTGAAATCCATATCTCCAGATGCATCTTCAGCTCCAGTGATATCAGATAGGATTAGTGGTGTTCCATCACCACCAAATTCTTTAGTGTCAAGGACCATGCCCATTGCAATGCCTGCAATTGAGCATTTTACAGGAACACCCGCATCTTGTAATGCCAAACAACCTCCGCAGACAGAGGCCATACTGTTACATGATGATAAGATCTCAATCACAGTCATACACTTAGCATGCAGATCATAGCACAAACAACAGACCTTTTGGGCGTGATAGGGTTACAATTGAGGAACCAAGAAGGAAACATGCTTTTGACTTCTATTGCAAACTGAAAACACTTTCTGCAGTCACTGACCTTGAGGAACCATTGCTCTCGGTAATGGTACTCTCAACTCGTACTGTGTATGGGAAAATGTCTTCGGAAGGCAATATAGGTTCAAGAGCTCTCTCTGCAAGCATCCCATGACCAATTTCTCGCCTATTAGGTGCTCCCGTTCGCCCTGCTTCCCCAACGGATGATGGAGGAAATGAATACTGAAAAAATTAGATAAAACAAAGTCTTAGTGTCTTTGCCAAACACACTCCACACTTGGAATTTCTTTTGCATATTAAATCAAGAGTTTCGAGAACAGAGATAACAAGAAAAGACTCAGTAGGAACAAAATAAATATTGCAGCAGAGGAGATTTGGTGGCAAGCGAAGAAGGTTCAATTATTTTTATCTGCCATATCTACCTTGGCTATAATGGACTCTGCACGAAAACAAAACACTGTTGGAAATTTCAGATCTTTACAAGTAAATGGAATCATTCTATGGCCAATAGACAGATAACGCAAATGCAGAAAGACAAAATTTCAGAAACTTAGCTGCAAATAATTACTCCAGAGAATAACAAGCATACACATTATTACTATAAAGTTGCTAGTATGGGTTTACTTGAACTACACTCCCATATATACCTGAAGATAGAACCTCTTAAATTCCTCTATATCCACAAGGTTGTCAACTCTTTGAGCCATTTGCCTGTCACCCAGCGTAGTAACAGCCAGGGCCTGCAACAAAAAGGAAGGGATGGAGTTCAGTGTTTCATGTAAAAGTTCATGCAAATTAAACACCGTGACACATCATAACTCGAATTTGTTGGAAGTTCTAACCCATACCACAACTTCATGACTAGAACATATGAAGTAATTTCATGACTAGAACTTACAAAGTAGGATAAGGGCTAAGATAAGAAGAAAACTTGGTCAATCAGAAATATCATTCAAAATAGAAATTGGATTGGCAAGACTAGTTGATCCAGAGAGAATAAGAGAATATTTTGCTTTAATGATTATAAATAGAACTCATGACAAATACATCGGATTATGGAATAGGAGAGACAGTAATAGCAAGATAAAGAAAAATACGGAAATCAGGGATTGGGAGTTAAACGAATGGGACAGTTAGCATGGTATCCAAGTACAAGACAAGATAGTTGTCAGTGTAGAAGGTTTTTAGCGGTTGAGCTTCTTTCCGAGGTTGGGCACATCTCAAGAAATTAAATTATTAGAATAATCTGGCAGTGAAATTAGCCTACTACACACTCAAAGGATTCACACTAAGAGACAATTGGTTAATTAACGAAGCATTTCCATTCAAGAAAACTTTCAGAAATGAAACCTGTGTTTCACCACGAGTGAATAGTGCGCTCCCATGAGCTCTGGGTAGTAAGCCACATCTTGCATCTATTGGACGTATTCCATTTGAGGTTCGCCCATCACTCCTTTTCCCACCCTGTCACCAGTGCAACAAAAAACAAAAACTCAAATTTGAGATCTGTGTGTCATTGCTGGTTCTCATAGTTGGATTACAAGACATGGGTCCTCCATTCTGTACCACATCTCCTTTGTAAATTACTTCCGGAATCAGAACACCCATATCAATGATATTCAAGGAACTAATGCAGAGTTTCACTCATTGATAATTTCAGCACTATGATTGAAAGGCAAGAGATCAAAACTTACCTGGTGAGAACCAAGAAGACTTTAAATCAGACATCAACCAGGCATATATCAAGCATTTGGAATACAATGTACTTCATTTGTCACTACTGTATCAAAAGATGGATTTCATACCTGTACGATTCGCTTGCGGAGGAATTTGGATGAGATCTCTTTGAATACAAGCTTTACATCACCCTCCAAAAACAACTAAAATTTGACAAGGACAAAACAAAAAGGAGTTTCAAAAGGGCTCAAGAAGAAGATGCAGATTCTTTTAGATGGGGAACTTAAAGGCAACTTGTACTAACCTGGGGAGGAAGTTCCTTTGGAATTGGCTTTATATGGACGTCACCTTCATCTACCTCACCATCAACAATCACTTCGTCGTCCTCGTCTTCCTCCTCAAGTAAATCTAATGTTGACTCTGCAGCGCCAGAATCTAAGATCGTAGTAACATAACCTTCTTCTGTAAGAATACCAATTACTTTTTTCTCCAAAGCTGAAATGGCCTTCCTTCTTGGTATTTTGTTACTAATCTGTAGCACTTCGGCTAATTCATTACCAGCAATCTCCTGTGAAAGGTAAATATAAACATAATATCTTATAGCCTGGAAATGAAAAAAAGAGCATGTTCTAGACAAGATTAACCAAAATTTACAGGTTTAGGAGAAATGAGAGTAAGGATGTTGGGTACTGAGGTTTGCACGAGAAAGAATATGGAAACTAGTAGATTTCCGTTGAAACATAGGACACTTTGACTAATACTAACTCTTCTTTTAAACTTCGTATCGAGTTAGATTTTAAGGTGTAATGTAGCAATAAAGTGCAGCGTAGACTGCTGATGTCCATTTGATAGAGCCAAGAAAATCACCCCCGAGAACAAGCTTTGGTATGTACATTCTCAAAACCTAATAAAACACTTCATTACTTGGGAGGATACCATACAATGAGATGGTCAATGACCCTAAAATGTTTTCCCCCAATCAACTGCATTGGACCTAACAGCTGGTCAGCATGTGCTCAAAAGACCAGCACCAAGGATAACAAATTCTGTCATGCAGATTTGAAATACAGAGCTTGGTAATATTGCTCAGCTCTTCATAAATTGGCTACTTTGCATACAGAACATAAAGACCAAAGGAAACAGAGCTTATAAGTTATTTTCCTCAATCTAAAATTTGTAATCTTGTTTAAAAGGCTCTAGCCTAAAATGGCATGCTCTTAACTGGCTTTGAAAGCAGGTGCAGCTCATGGACAGAACAACTTACAGCAATAGAGAGGCATAATAAATTGTACCTCCACATGTTTATATAACTCAGGAGGAGGCAACTTTATAGCATCAAGCATTTTTGGTTTTCCACACTTTGCCTCCAAAGCCGCCACTTCATTGCAAATTAACCGTACTGCATCCTGGCTTCAGTGACATACAACAGGCTAAGTATTCAATCAGATCCTGTAGTTGTTGATCTCTTTAATACGAAATACCAAGGAACATGACAAGTTAAGCATCTCTTCCTTCAATGCATGGCAATGCTTCCATTCCACAGACACAACATATGTAAGAAGAATCACAATCATGCAATAACAAGAAGCGACTTCTTCTAATCTACAGTTTTCTCCAGGCCTCAAGGTTTCTTAAACCAAGAACTGATCCTGACTAACTTTTGGCAAACAACAAAATCACTAGGACTGAATCCATGAGAGAGTCACCGAAAAGTATAGAAGCAGTGAGTTTCTGCTTACGTTAACAAGATTTGTAGTTTGTTAATGTTATGCACATGTCCTGAAATAAAGAAAAATACATTTCCAGGCACATAAGCATACTCTGCTTACCCAATTTTTACTGCTTCAAACAACTTCTCCTCTGGCAGAAAATCGCAGTATCCCTGCAAGAAAGAAACAACACTAATTGATCTTTCTAAAAAAAAAAAAAATGAAACAACAGTGATTGAGATTTTCCCTCTGATGCATGTGTATTCATATAATCATTGTTATGGTAGTGAATTACTTTCCCATAAGCAGAATTAACATGTTGCACATTTCTGATATTTATTTATTCATATGAAATGTGGACGAGACATATCACAACTTCAGGGCAATTCTATTCTTCAGAAGCTCAGCCTTCACGAAACACTTATGGAATACATGAGAATATCCAATATTGTAGAAGAAGTAAAGCATATAAGACACGAGTGGATCAGCTTATTAGCTGTCAATGGTGCCTCCTGAGATTACTGACATGAGGAGTGCCTCTAACGAGGGTTAAAAAGTAAATTAGCACAAAGATGAAAGTTTTATGAAAATTTATTTGGAAACATCTAGTATAAGTGTCATATTCAACAAACCTGGGCAGACTATTCAATGATCTTTTACACACGAAGAACAGAGGCCACCATGAACTCTTTCGAATTACACCAGTCAAAAACTTGTTATGGCATAGGAAGGTTTGATCGCAAGAGTGAAATTAGGCAAGGTCCTGTTGTTGTTCCCGAAACTACCTTAAGAATTCTACAGGCAGAAATGTTCCCAAAATTTTTGAAAACATCAGATGCAGCAATTGGATTGATGCTGCATTTACGATGCAACAAGTAATCATTTCCACAAGGAAAATAAAACAGCCTGTACACTACAGAACATAGACGGTAAGATAAAAATAGCTCAAACCTCGATCATCAGGATAGCGCTATCTGTACCAGCCAGCACCAAATCTAGCACTGAATTCTCCATCTCTTTGTTTGTGGGGTTTACTATAAATTTATCGTCAATAAGACCAACTCGAACTCCTGCAATGGGCTTTGTATTTGGAACTTCTGACAGAGACCTACGAAATTTGAAGTTAAGAAATAGGCAAAATATTAGAGATGGTTCCTGTATCAAGGGTTCAGGGGGCATAGATATTGAGAGAGAAGAACATAATGGGACAACATACATTGCTATCCCAGCAGCGGTGACGGCCAATACATCAGGTGGGTGCAAACTATCATAGCTCAAAACCTGTGAGAATGAAAGAGAAACCAATTTATATAATTCAAAAACGAAACCAAGATAGACCGAAATAAGTTAATTTCATGTCATCCAATCTTCAAATAACAGCATTGAAATATAAACTTCTCAAAAACTGTAGTGTCTTCAACGAATAAAATAAAGGGCCTTACAAGTAGTTACCGTACTCAAGGTATTCGTTAGTTGAGACCATTATGAAGTGATTCCGTAGTTGTCAGTGAAAACATGCTATTTCATAACAATGGGATAGAAAGACAGCATTCAACATAATGAGAATTCGGAAGCCTTTGGTTGAAGAGCAAGAATATAACCTAAAAAATGGTATGGAAGACATTCAAGCAAAAAATATTGAAGCAATTTATGATACTTGCCCATGATAATATCTGAGTTTCATGGTAGAAGCCCTTTGGCATGGTTGGGCGTAATGGCCTATCAATGAGTCGGCAAGTGAGGACCTGAATTGATCATGGAGACAGAAACATAGATGTCCATAAACCCGCTGAAGTACAAATACAATAATACATAAATAATTTTCTTTTATGAAATTAGATAAATAGAAAATTATGATCAAACATCATGCAATCACCATTGAAGAGGTAAAAATTCCTTCCCTGTCCTCTCTGCTACTCGAAAAATGGAAAGTTAGATGGCATTGTCAATCAAGGTTTCCTGGTATCAACCATAGGTGACGATACATAGCTGATACTAGAAGCACCACAAGCTTCCAGAGATCTTCTGATAGGTGATGTTCGCCCAAGGTATGATTTTTATAGGGATTTTCTTGCAATCTGTCCATGGGCTAGGATGGATACAAACCAAGATGCTGATACCCTTAAAATGATAGCCTACTTGATTTTCTTTTTACTCTGGTTCTAATTGCAGAATTTGAAATTCATTTAGTTTTGTTTTACTTAATTGTAGGAAAATACAGCAAAGCTGATATTCCTTCTGAAGAAAGATTCTCTTTAAAGCTTCAGAACTAATTCTGCCAATCAGGTTTTTATTAAGTAGCGGTCACATGATGAAAAATCATACAGTGAAAGCCAATCAGCCACAACAAATCATGAGTGAGAGTTTACTTAAGAAATTAAGTTGCAATCAGACTGAGTAAATGCTCCTTATACTAGACAGGAGGCAAGTACCTCATGATCTTTTGCTCTTCCCTCTCGTTTGAAAAACCCTCCACTTAGGCAAAGCCAGATGAAAAGGACCAATCAGTTTCCTGAAACACTCTTCCAAAATAACAATGATAAAACAAAAGTACCATATACCTTGTTCGACCGGCAGCTGAAAAACGTTCTTGATAATGAACAGAAAGAGGGAAAAAATCTGAAGGCTCGCTTGGAACACCATCCAAACATACAGATGTATAGACAACCTGCGACACAAAATTTTGAAATATGTGTGATACCAGATGAAACCGCTACAGAAATTCTAAGCTCGATGATTATGAACAGTAAAATGCTGGATAAAAATCTAAAAGATACATTGATGAAAAAGACAAGAGATGGATCAGCCAACTGATAACAAAGCCATTTCAAGGTGTCAAGCCAATCTATTCAATTTCCCCATTTTTTCTTCGCCTTAAAACATACAATAGAGCAAGGAGCACATCACAATCATATGTTCTTTCTAGTATTTTCTAGGAACTCAAGGATTGACATTTCTCCATCTTGGACTGGTTCCCTAAAAGCATGAATTCTCACTGAATGGGAAAGCATGAACTGAATTCGTAATAGACTCTAGATAAGTCCAAGCACCATGGTTCGCTGTTGCATTCAGACATTTGAAACGTTGATAGAATTTTTGGCCCAGCTGTTCAAGTACCAAAATGAAAGAAGATATTCAAAATCAGTCCACTACTTACGGTTTCTCCATCAGTCACCATCACAGCACCACTAGCTTGTCTTCCCATATGACCTGTTTCAACCAATATCTGCAAAAATATTACAAGTACAATATGATAATCTCTCAAAGCACAATTCAACTAGTTTATCACAATAACCCCTACAGCCCAAAGCCTCAACCTAAGATGGAAGCAGCTCTACAACTTCAATTTCCTTCCAAGACGGCAAGCAGGCAGTTCAATTTCAAATAAGTTGCTTCAAGCTCAAGGAATTCAAAGATTTACAACATTATCGATGACGGAAAGCGCTAACCAGAATGCGATTTCAAATACTTAACCTCTCTGTCTCCGTAGGGGATTTTTACAGAAACGTATTGGGGGAAAAACTGCGCTCCGTCTAAAGCAACCGACTCCGGGACTTGGTGGTCTTGAACGGAAGCTCTAACGCGGCCGAAACTTGCGGCAACTTTTCTCGGTAAAAGCAGGGATAAGGCGCGGGACCTTGATTTTCTTGGACCAATGCAACGGGAGCAAGTTGGAGAGACGGGGAGCTTGCAGCAGTGGCTACTGGATAGTCGAAACGGAGAGCTTCGGGGACGAGAAATGCCGCCATGCAGGGCGCCGGTGCTAGGATTTGCCAGCATTCCGGCGGCTGAGGGGATGCGCAGAGTGGCCCGGTGGAGTCTCTCGAGCGAAGACGAGAAGTAGTAGAGGGAGAGGGATGAAGGAAATGAAGGACACTTATCCGTTTGTGGCGCCAGGTCTCAGAAAAGGAGACGGTTTTCTCCCTTTTAATTTTCTTTTGGTACTGTTACAAACAAGAATTGCAGATGGGCCTATTGGGCTTCTGGTCTATGACTGCTGACCCAAACAGGATTGGGGAGGATTTTAATGGGCTGGCCCATCCATTACGCTTTCCTGAAATATGATATGGCAATCACGATTCACAACCCATCAAGGCCTACGGGTTCGGTTAGGCTTAGGAGTTAGGATATCGAATTGGAGTCGTTGTTCTGAGGCGGAACCATCCTGCGGTTGAGGACTTGAGGTTGATGCGAGCTACCGAGAGGCATTTTTGTCCATTTATTGAATTTTAAATATTTTTTTTATTTGTCTGACTCTGATTTCTCTTTGGAACTCTCTTTTGCTCTTCCTTTATTCATTTCTCTGTGTCAAATTCTTCAATCTCCTTCTCCCAATATTGCCCTTTTTTCATTGTGCATATTTGTTCTAATCTTCTTTTTTTTATTTGCTTTTGATGTTCTTGATTGTGGAGGAAAGGAGAGGATGCAGAAGACTAGCATGTAAAGTATGTCTTAGTTAGATGTATATTGTGGTTACCATATTATACAATGCTTGTATTGTGAAGAAAATGAAGGACATGAAAGTGAAGAAAGTCATAATTATATATTGGGATTACCACATGTTGGGACAAAAGGATTGACTTAGCAAATCTAATATTTTAGGTCAACATATTTGGAATATATGTTATTGTATTTCCATGTTGGACTAACAATTTATGTAGGGAAGAATCAAAAGAAGCAAATCAATGTAAAGATGAAAGAATCTATATAGAAAAATGAAAGTATTCAAATTGATTGCTTTCCCCCAAAGGAGTAATCATATCAACAAGGAGCTTACCAATTCAAGGAGCCAGTTGCCATAAGAAGCATTACAAAAGAAAGGAAATGGAGCTACACCGCCACTATAAATAATAGAGTTCTTTGTAGGCTAGAGCACCTTTTGCAAAGTTCTCTTCTCCCTTGTAATAGCGAAATAGTGTAATCATATTTCGTGGTGTGAATAGCTTGATATCTCGGAGGTTGAAATTGTCAAGCTAGGTCAGGTTTTAGGGTAGAACGGGTATTTGTAATTGGGACTAGTGCAAGAGCAAGAGGGGATCCTTGCTTGGAAGTTGCACTAGGTGGATTACTCTTTGATCAAGCTAAACTAAGAGTGTTGGCTTGATTGATTGAGTGGGTAGCTTAGCTTGGATTTAGCTAAGGGTTGAATAGGTGTGGAGTTGCACCTATTTGGTTCTTGACACGTAATGTCAAGGTTGTTTTTATTTCATAGGATAGATTTTATTTTAATAAAAGTTAGATTCTCTCGTGAGATAGTAGTGACTATCTCCGAGACGTGGATGTAAAGCCATATTGGCCGAACCACGTTAAAATCGTGTTTCCCGAATCATCTCTCTCTCTCTCTCTACGCTTCCTCTAACCTTGTTCCTATCATTATTACAAAGAAGTGAAAACTTCTATCACAATTGGAACAAATGCGTCATAACAAATTAATCATTTCAAGAGAGATTCTTGGCAAACCATTTTGGGTTGCGTAATCAAGCTAGTGCTAATCTCTCACTATTAAAATCTGAATTAATTTGTGAATTGATCACGTCAAAAGTATTCATTACTGACCCCGCTTGGTCTAACACCACATGGTATAGTGTGTTAACTAGATGCATTTTTATGGTTACCACATGTTACCATGATAGTATCAATATTATAATTCAAGTTATTATAATATGAGTTGAAAATGTCACCATTTAATATGAATTGAAGTTATTAGCAATGTTGTCAAAAGCAAACCGGAGTATGGCCCGATAATGTGAACGATTCGGTCTTTAGCGGTCCAACCGGCATTAAACCATTTAAAAATCGTTAGAAAACCGGTACATAATAAACAATCAGTATAAATAGTGGACACTTCTTAATCATGGTAAACCATGACGAAATTAGTAAATTACTCTTAACAATTTCAAAACATGCGAGCGGGGAGCCAAGTGCGGGCGGCTACAGGGACTGGGGATGGCAACAGGAAGCGCCGGGATGGGAAGTGACGACGGAGCGGAGGAGTTGCTACGGGAAGAGGGGACGGGGACGGAGACTGGTGATGGCGAGCTGGGAGCTGCTACGCTGATTGGCGATGGCGAGGATGCCGTCGGGAAGCAAGGATGGGAAGAGTTGACGGCGGCAGGGTCTGGCGCCGCTCTTTTCCCTTTGTTCATGAAGAGTCGAAGACAAAAACTGAATTATAGTTAGGGTTCTTTCCCAGGCCCACGATTTTGCCTTTCATTTTCAATTTTTGATTTTCTTTTTCAATTTATTTTATTAAACAGAACGGTCGGAAGGGAAAAATCGAGCGACCGGTTCGAGCAGCTCAAACGGTTAATCGTCTTGACTGCTCGCCTGCCGCTCCATAAAACCGTAGCAGCTAAATGACTGGCCCGAGCCGGTTTTGCGACCAGGTGGCGGGTTTAGCGGTCTGACCAGCCGGCTCGGTCCAGTCTTAATAACACTGGTTATTAGCGTAACACCACTTCATATCATATGGAACCCGTATTGTAATTCAAGTTTATAGGTTTGTTTCTTGTTATAACACCATTATACTAAATCATACCATCTAGTACCAGCATTCAATATACATATCACACCACAAGTTTTGTATAGTCCCATTATAAATCATCATACCACATTATACCATATGTTACAAGCATTATAATTTTATAGATTTGTACCTTCTTAGACAACATTATATATGTAAAATATAACATACTATATATATTATAGCATCATACAGTAAACGATAACATACGAGTTGGTTAGTTTTAATACATTGTACAGTATGATACGATTACATACCATATGGTACCAGTACCACGGTGATATTTTTATAGGTTTTTTTTTAATAAATATGTTAGATTCATATGTGTTGTACGGTTTTAGTTAAAGTGAAGAGAGCATCAATAATTTTCCTTTTAGTTGTAGACGAATCGTCTTTTTTCTTTTAGTGGTAGACAAAAGTGAGAGAGAAGGTTTTCGGGTTAATTGCATAGTTGGTCACCGAGATTACAAAAAAAGTTCAAATTTGATCACTCGAAATATTTATATCTATTGGTGGTACTTCAGTTTACTCAAACTGTTCATGTTTGGTCACTCTGCGTCCAAATCCGTTAACTTTGGCTGATATGGTAGTCAACTCTCAAAGTTGACCGTTAACTTAGTGACGTGGCAACTAAAAAATTATTAAAAATAAAAAATAAATTTTTATATTTTCACCTCATTATTACATTCATAAAATAAAAAAATAAAAAAAAACCTAAATTCGTTTCTACAAACCCCATACCCTACCCGACCCAACCTCCACCACCGCCGCAACAACACTCCCCACCACCACTACCCGACTCCGACTCCTGCCCCATCCCCATCCCCGACACCGGCTTCAATCCCTCCTCCTACTCCTCCGCCGTTGCTACTTATAACTTATACAATCATTTGCACATAAATGGACAGAAACGGAATAGAATTTAATCCAAACCCCATAATAAACAAGAACTCCTTCAATAGGAAATCAAACTGAACCCAAAACTAGGATGCAACTCAAAAAGGGGAAAATTGAACCCACCTCAGCTACCAATTGACCATAAATTCGAGAACCCAATTCACCAGATCCGGTGGGAAAGAAGAAAGAAAAAAAGGTGTGGGGAAATTGGGGAAATTAGTACCTTGCGATAAGTAGTATCGTCTTCTTCAACGAACCATCCAGCTTCCTTACGGATAGCCTTCAAGACCTCATTGTTGTCACAGTGCTTGAGCAAATTGAAGTTCCCCTAAGTTCAAAGTCCGGTGAAGATCTTCACAGCGATAGCCCTTCGCCGCCGCTCTCTCCTCCTGTTGTTCTCCCTTTCCCTCCGGGATGGCTTCCTCCACTTGACAAATGGAGTGGCCACCGCTGCTCCGTTGGTGCTCAGCAGCCGCTACTTACAACTTATACACTGACTGCCATTGGATTGGATGTCGCCGGCGGCGGAGGAGTGGGAGGAGGGATTGAAGCCGGCGCCGGCCGCCGGGGATGGGGATGGGGATGGGGCAGGAGTCGGAGTCGGGTGGTGGTGGTGGGGAGTGTTGCTACGGTGGTCGGATTCCGCAGTGGCGGAGGAGGTTGAGTGGGTAGGGTATGGGGTTTGTAGAAAAGAATTTAGGTTTTTTATTTTTTATGAATGTAATAATGAGATGGAAAATTAATTTTTTTCATTTTTAATAATTTTTAGTTGCCACGTCACTAAGTTAACGATCAACTTTGAGAGTTGACTGCCACATCAGCCAAAGTTAACGGATTTTGATGGAGAGTGACCAAAAGTGAACGGTCTGAGTAAACTGAAGTACTACCAATAGATTTAAATATTTCGAGTGAGCAAACTTGAACGTTTTTTGTAATCTCAATGACCAACCATGTAATTAACCCGAAGGTTTTCTTTTTAATTTGCATATGTGAGAAAGAGAGGGAGAAGGCGTGCAGGTGGGAGCGGGGTGGAGAAAAAGAAGGGAAGGAACGGGAGTGAGGTCCGCATCTTGTCAAAAGTCAATGTCTTCATTAAATGGGACATGCATTATTACGGTTCTATACTTCTGTGTGTTTATTTAAAGCAACGATCGAGATGCAGTCCATGTATAGGGCGGAAGATGGGGTTGTGCACAGTTATTGAGGATATGGTTATTAACCTGATCCGGACCCGTTTGGTTAGCCTGTCAAATAAGGAAAGTTGCAGGAGGATCATCATCTTCTTATGAATAATATTAATAGATAGAGGTGTGCAACGGTTCAGACTTCAGACCGTATCATACCAAATCGTGAGAACAATGTTTAAGTAGTAAATGGAATTTTAGGACAAAACCATAATTATATTTGATTAAGTGTTGTCTGGTTTGGTTTGGTTCATATGTAAATATAGTCTTGTGTGATCCGGTGTAGACCAAATATAATTTTAGAACTAAAGATCGGACAATATTTGTATTTGATTTGGTGTGGTCCATTCCAAATACTAATTCGATTCATTTTTCTTATGTATTTATAAAATTCATAAAACTGAACTCTAACCATATTCGGTTTAGTGAGGTCTGATTTGGTCCATTTGTCAATATAGTCTTGTGTGATCCGGTGCGAACCAAATCGTTGTACACCCCTATTAGTAAATGACAGTTTCGCAATTCGTGAGGTGCCTCATGATAGCGGCTTCTCTCCTTCTTTTTAGATTTACCTTTTCCCTTTTAATTACAAACGATCTGTATCGTCTTCAATTAACTCAAATTTCAAACATTTTATACAGGAAAATATTTTTTTTTATTATGTACAAGATGAAATCCGCTTTTTATATGTATGGGCCGAAAATAAATATCATATTTGTATGTTTATATGGATTTCATAAAGCTTGAACATTTTTTACAACATTTACAATTTTTTTTATACAATGAGTACATGACTTTTTGTACATAAAGCACTAATACCTTCATAAAATGTACATAATTTTTTGCCAAACTGGCACATGAAGGACAAGTTTCATACACAAGTGCATAATTATATGTATGAGAATTCACTTTCTGTACAAGTACATTTTTTCCATTCCGTAGGATTTTATGGAAAATGAGTGCAAAGTTATTTATAACGAGTACAACTTTTTTTACATAATTTTTGTATGAGAATCCGCTTTTTTGTACAACGAACACATATTATGAAAAATGAGTGCAAAGTTATTTTAGATGTGTAGAGTAGATATCTTGGACAAAATGCAAGTACCGAAGACTTTTTCTTGATAACTTATCTATCTCTAACAAGAGCTACAACAACTGTTAATCCTTGTTTTTGAAATCCTCAAATTTTGGGATTAATAAAACCTCCTTCCAAGTTCAAGCACCATTTTCTATACAGAGAAAGGACTAATGTTTGGCCTCTTAAAACTCTCATTACTTCTCTGCAAGTTCACTTTATAAACCAAGAAAATTTGGTCATGCAAACACAAAAGTTTAAGAAACGGGTAAAAAGTTTCAAGAGCTGGGGCTTGCACTAAATAACAAAATTTGGTGGACAAATTTAGGTGTCATCAGTGTCGGACAAGTTTGGTTTCTGAGAATAACAACAGCCTAACCCTCACCCCAAGCACCTAGCTACGCATCTTGCTGAACGAATTCTCTAACAGAGTTCGCCTCGGTTTTTCATGCCTCTCAACGCGAATTGTTTCATATGCACATTCAGCAAGCTAGCTAAGAAAGACAAAGATGATGCTAAAAGACAAACATTTGTACTATGAATTAGTTGTCCTGTCACATTAATTGCTTAAAATTTACACATCATGAAAGGAGGAAAAAACAACAGTCTGTGCATAAATGCCAACCTCATCAGATTTGTGGTTAATGTCCTTGTTTCATTTTAATGGACAGGGAGCAGGAATTAAGTTTGCTGCATTCATGTGTTATAGCTGGAGGTGGCAAATTGATTGATCCATGGATTGGTGGGTCCATGGATCAAATGGATTGTATCTAATGGATTAGTGGATTCATGGATTGGATCAAGTGGATTGTTGGATTATTCATGAATCCAAATGACATCCTCAACCAAGGACCAATATATAAAATGTGAAAAGTTTAGGTACTAAAATGTCATAATGAAAAGTTTTAGGTATCAAAACGTAATTTTTCAATGATATGTTTTGTATAAAAAATTAAATTTTGGGTACCAAAATGTAAGATATAAAAAGTATAGGTACCAAACCGTAATTTGTCATTTGGATCCATGGATCAATCCATGAATCCACCAATCCAATTGGATTTGGATCAAATGGATTGGATTTAAATCAGTGGCGGACCCAGGATTCATGTATAGGTGTGTCGGTATATGAAATTAAATAAATTTTAATTATATTTTACTGTGAAACACAACGAGCAGTGGGATCGAAAGAGGTAAAGGGAACACTAGGTTTATTTTTAATAAGATAGACAATTATAAAGAGCGATAGTCCATATCCATATGCAACCAGACTCCCGATGAAAGAACATTTTTTGTCACTAGGTGGACAACTATGTGAAAGCTACAAGGATCAAGAAGAAACGAAACTTATTCAGGTAGAGAGAAAAATGAGAAAACTTCCTTACGATTACCCCTACCTAAGACCTAAGAGCAATAAATCATTGCTTCTAAATGCTTAAGCAATGGAAAGAACCCCAAATTTGTCATAAGTAAACTAAAGTTTAAAATAAATAATATATATGTATGTACCTTGTGAACTTTATGACACCAATTTCATAGTAGTGTATTGAAGGTGTGTCGATTACAATTATTGAAGGTGTGTCGGAAGTCCTAAATTCCAAAAAATTATACCGACAAAACATGGGTCTCTCACAAAATATTCGGGCAGAGGTGTGTCGCTTGACACACCTCCCTAATACATGGGTCCGCTCCTGATTTAAATGGATTGGATTAGGTGAGTATTTTTAATGGGTTGATGGATTGGATTGATGGATTGGATTGAAAATTGCC